CTTAGAACACTGACAGGTCGACCAGGGCCCTGCCATGTGTCTGACTCCACTCTTCCTGTCCCCCGGTCTACTGTTAATTGTTAGGTACAGTAACATTGACCTGAAATATTTTGAAATTCCTATTGCACATGTTCACATCACAGTGTATCACCATGTCAAATTTGAAAAAGAAATGTTTTTATGAGTCCCCTCCCCTCCCATGGTCTTTTTTTAGTGACAGTGACCTTGATCTTAGAAACGTTTTAAATCTTGTTATAAATCTACAAATCACATTGTGTCACTTTCAAATTTCAAAATATTCGGAAAAATCAGTCTTTCGGATTCTGAGATAATCTCCAGAAACGAAAGTGTGGACAGACGGACGGACGGATACCGCGGTCACTATAGGGCACCCGCATCTGAGATGCTGGGCCCTACCTATAGGAATATCAGAAGACCAGAAAAACACAAGAATAGTCGGTACAATGAAATTAGAATAGAATCACGTATCCAATGAGAAAAACCATTTACTCCACAGTATTTAATCCAACATCATCTGATGGTATGCTGTCCAATTCGCCCTATGTCCATGTTCCTTCCTTCCATAAACTAATCTTGTTGTCACTATTTCTAAAGAAGTATGCAGTATATCTTTCTCAAACTTTATATAAAGGATCCTCTTGGTCATTGGTTGTTTCGTGATTATCTTGTAGATTTGTGCACGCTCCGACTTGAGTTGGATCTGCAGAGCAAAATAAGCGCCAGGCACCCATCTAAGATTTTTCATTTCGAGTCGGTCTAAATGAACTAATTTTTAGAATGCATTTCAAGATCTTAATACCACTTGCCACAAGCTACCGAATGGACCATTACAAAACACGGTATACATGCCAGCTTTGTGTATGATCGATCCCCTTACACAAGCTACCGAATGGACCATTACAAAACACGGTATACATGGCCATCTTTGTGTTTGATCGAGTCCCTTAGATAAGCTACAGAATGGACCATTACAAAACACGATATACATGGCCAGCTTTGTGTTTGATCGATACCCTTAAATAAGCTACCGAATGGACAATTACAAAACACGGTATACATGTCAGCTTTGTGTATGATCGATCCTCGTACATAAGCTACCGAATGGACCATAACAAAAGACAGTAGGCATGGCCAGCTTTGTGTATGATCACTCCTCTTACATTAGCTACCGAATGGACCATTACATAACACGGTATACATAGCCAGCTTTGTGTATGATCGATACCCTTACACAAGCTACCGAATGTACCATTACAAAACACGGTATACATGCCAGCTTTGTGTATGATCGATCCACTTAAATAAGCTACCGAATGGACAATTACAAAACACGGTATACATGCCCAGCTTTGTGTTTGATCGATACCCTTAAATAAGCTACCGAATGGACAATTACAAAACACGGTATACATGCCCAGCTTTGTGTTTGATCGATCCCCTTACATAAGCTACCGAATGGTCCATTACAAAACACGGTATACATGCCCAGCTTTGTGTTTGATCGATCCCCTTACACAAGATACCGAATGGACCATTACAAATCACGGTATACATGGCCAGCTTTGCGTATGATCGATCCCCTTAAATAAACTACCGGATGGACCATTACAAAACACGGCATACATGGCTAGCTTTGTGTATGATCGATCCCCTTAAATAAACTACCGGATGGACCATTACAAAACACGGCATACATGGCTAGCTTTGTGTATGATCGATCCTCTTACATAAGCTACCTAATGGACCATTACAAAACACGGCATACATGGCCAGCTTTGTTTATGATTGATCCCCTTACATAAGCTACCGAATGGTCCATTACAAAACACGGCATACATGGCCAGCTTTGTTTATGATTGATCCCCTTACATAAGCTACCGAATGGTCCATTACAAAACACGGTATACAGGGCCAGCTTTGTGTATGATCGCTCCTCTTACATAAGCTACCGAATGGACCATTACTAAACACGGTATACATGGCCAGCTTTGGGTATGATCGATCCTCTTACATAAGCTACCGAATGGTCCATTACAAAACACGGTATACATGCCAGCTTTGTGTATGATAGATCCCCTTACACAAGCTACCGAATGTACCATTACAAAACACGGTATACAGGGCCAGCTTTGTGTATGATCGCTCCTCTTACATAAGCTACCGAATGGTCCATTACAAAACACGGCATACATGGCTAGCTTTGTGTATGATCGATCCCCTTAAATAAACTACCGGATGGACCATTACAAAACACGGCATACATGGCCAGCTTTGTGTATGATCGATCCTCTTAAATAAGCTACCGAATGGACCATAACAAAACACGGTATACATGGCCAGCTTTGTGTATGATCGATCCCCTTAAATAAGCTACCGAATGGACCATTACAAAACACGGCATACATGGCCAGCTTTGTGTATGATCGATCCTCTTACATAAGCTACCGAATGGACCATTACATAACACGGTATACATGGTCAGCTTTGTGTATGATCCCCTTTTCCTCAAGATTTAAAATGGTCGAAAATAAAATCTAGCATTTAACAAATCCTTCAAAAAATCATGTTGCCGCTTGGTTTGATGATCCTCTCCGTATTTTCCAGATAACAGTGAAGCGAAAAAATACAATACATTCAATCGACATTCATGGTCTTTCAAAGGTGAGTCTCGAAGATCTCTCTCGGATCACTTGTTTCGAACTTCTTTTTTTTTATTATATTCATTTGTTTGCTTGGAAGGACTTGGTAAGAGTAACAAAATGAGGCATTCCTTCTGGATGTATAGAATATTCATTGAGATCCCAGCCCCGTCTGCATCCATCCACAAATAAAATCATCTGTCATTTAAGTAGAATGAGAGTATACTGTTTAGAACACTTCGCTACTTATTACACAGTATGACGTCAACAACTATTGTGACGTCATAATACGTTGCCTCGTAACTACGCATGCTTAGCGCTTGATTAGCATCCCAACGAATTATTACTGCTCTTCTTTTTGCGGCGTACTTTGCCCTTGTGTAAGACAACATGGAAGAAATGTATATTCCTGATACGAAACAATTGTCCTTTGTTACCAAGGAAACGTAAGTATCTGAACACGAACTAATCAATCAAATACTGTATATACTTATCCGTGTCTCGATCCACTTACGATAACAGGTTATGCAGATATTTAATTTCTCTATGGCATCGGGATGTTTGGTACTTAATGTGTGTGTACTGCCAAAATGTTGTCGGTGGGTATATATATGGGCAACAGGGAAGGAAAAATGCACGGCCAGACCGGGGTTCGAGTCCGGGACCTTCCGAACTCTAGACGGACGCTCTACCAATTGAGCTATCTGGTCGCCGACGATCGACCCAGTCCAGTTCCACTACATATGTCAGGGATGAATTAGGTTCTCGATTTTACACGGTGAAATACATAACTGTAGCATTTAGTAAAAATGACGGACGTCTTTGTACTGCATGTTAATTTCTCGGGCCACTTCCCCACAGCTGCCCTGTTTAGGATTCACTGTTAATGTTACTGTGATCGGAGACGTTACCAGTAGGGAAGACCGTCATTTATACGAGTATAGTAGGTTACTGACAACGTGGAAGGAGTTCAACAGATTTATCCGATACTGTAGTATATCGAACAGGTATGATTTTATCGGCATATTACTTCAAAGTATTTTTTTTCTATCAAACCTTTTATATTGACCTTAAAGTTTTCTCCGATAATACTGACTAATGTTGACACCGACTATATTGACTGATGTTGACACCGACTATATTTACATTGATGTTGACACCGACTATATTGAGTGATGTTGACAACGATAATATTGAGTGATGCTGACAACGATAATATTGAGTGATGTTGACAACGATAATATTGAGTGCTGTTGACAACGATAATATTGAGTGATGTTGACAACGATGATACTGACTAATGTTGACAACGACTATATTGAGTGATGTTGACGACGATGATACTGACTAATGTTGACACCGACTATATTGAGCGATGTTGACAACGATAATATTGAGTGATGTTGACAACGATGATACTGACTAATGTTGACACCCACTATATTTACATTGATGTTGACTACGATAATACTGACTAATGTTGACACCGACTGTATTGACTGATGTTGACACCGACTATATTTACATTGATGTTGACACCGACTTTATTTACATTGATGTTGACACCGACTATATTTACATTGATATTGACACCGACTATATTTACATTGATGGTGACAACGATAATACTGACTAATGTTGCCACCGACTATATTGAGTGATGTTGACACCGACTATATTGAGTGATGTTGACAACGGCTATATTGAGTGATGTTGACAACGATGATATTGAGTGATGTTGACAACGATAATATTGAGTGCTGTTGACAACGATAATATTGAGTGATGTTGACAACGATGATACTGACTAATGTTGACAACGACTATATTGAGTGATGTTGACAACGATGATACTGACTAATGTTGACCCGGACTATATTTACATTGATGTTGACAACGATAATACTGACTAATGTTGCCACCGACTATATTGAGTGATGTTGACAACTATGATACTGACTAATGTTGACACCCACTATATTTACATTGATGTTGACTACGATAATACTGACTAATGTTGACACCGTCTATATTGAGTGATGTTGACAACGATGATACTGACTAATGTTGACACCCACTATATCTACATTGATGTTGACAACGATAATACTGACTAATGTTGACACCGTCTATATTGAGTGATGTTGACAACGATGATATTGAGTGATGTTGACAACGATAATATTGAGTGCTGTTGACAACGATAATATTGAGTGATGCTGACAACGATAATATTGAGTGATGTTGACAACGATAATATTGAGTGCTGTTGACAACGATAATATTGAGTGATGCTGACAACGATAATATTGAGTGATGTTGACAACGATAATATTGAGTGATGTTGACACCGAAAATATTGGGTGATGTTCATAATTAAATTATAGGCTGATGTTGACATCAATTATGTTGACATTAATCTTGACAACGATAATATTGACTGATGTTGACACCGATGCTACTGACTGATGTTGACACAGATAATATTGACATTGATGTTGACACCGATGCTATTGACTAATGTTGTCACAGATAATATTGACATTGATGTTGACATCAATATCCAGTGTTGACAGGTTCGCCTCATGGGCTGAGGCTCTGTCACTTCCGGTAGAAGGGCGAAAGATCGGCGCCAACGCTCTACGTATGGCTGTGGCCAGACAGATTCTCATCAAATTATCTCGTCAAAAAACAGGTAATTCAGTTTCTTAGGTGCAGTTTACATACTCACAAAAATATACGTATCCACATGATGTTTAAAATCATATCAGTGGTGTAGGAAGCGAGTGCTTTTCGAGTGGCCCCCTCACCTTTGAGGCAACTTAAACTCGCATGGTTCTCTTTTTTCATTCATATACTTTTTCAATTACGATTGACACATCCGCTCTTAGACATTACCATTGAGCCTGTATCACGAACTGAGAAAAACAGTAAAACGATTTCAAAGGATATATAATAAGGCGAGCTCTATTATGCCCTGGCTGTACTAGGCATTAGTCTATATTTACAGGTCTATTGTAACTGGTTTGTCTGTGGGCGTGTCTATTGTAACTGGTCTTTCTATGGACGTGTCTATTGTAACTGCATGGTCTGTCTGTGGGCGTGTCTATTATAACTTGCCTGTCCGTGAGTCAATTATAACTGGTCTTTCTATTGGCGTGTCTATTGTAACTGGTCTTTATATGTACGTGTCTATTGTAACTGCATGGTCTGTCTGTGGGCGTGTCTATTGTAACTGCATGGTCTGTCTGTGGGCGTGTCTATTAAAACTGGCCTGTCGGTGAGCGTGTCAATCATAACTGGTCTTTCTATGGGCGGATCTATTGTAACTGGTCTTTCTGTGGGCGTGTAGTATATTGTAACTACATGGTCTGTCTACGGGCGTGTCTATTATAACTGAATGGTCTGTCTGTGTGCGTGTCTATTGTAACTGGTCTGTCTGTGGGCGTGTCTATTGTAACTGCATGGTCTGTCTGTAGACGGGTCTATTGTAACTACATGGTCTGTCTATGGGCGTGTCTATTATAACTGAATGGTCTGTCCTTGTGCGTGTCTATTGTAACTGGTCTGTCTGTGGGCGTGTCTATTGTAACTGCATGGTCTGTCTATGGACGTGTCTATTATAACTGGCCTGTCCGTTGGCGTGTCTTTAAATACTGGTCTGTCCGTTGGCGTGTCTATTGTAACTGGTGTGTCTGTGGGCGTGTCTATTGTAACTGGTCTTTCTTTGGGCGTGTCAATTATAACTGGTCTGTCTGGGTGGGTCTATTGTTACTAGTTTGCCTGTAGGCGTGTCTCTTGTTAATGGTCTGTCTGTGGGAGGGTCTGTTCTTACTGCTCTGTCTGTATACGGGTCTATCGTTATGGCTCCGTCTGTATAAGGTTTTATTGGAACTGGTCTGTCCGTGGGCGCGTCTATTGTAACTATATAGTCTGTTTTGTGCGGGTCTGTTGTTACTAGTTTGCACGTAATGTAACTGATCTGTCTGTGGGCGGGTTTATTATTACTGGTTTGCCTGTGGGCGTGTATATTGTTACCGGTCAGTCTGTAGGCGGGTCTATTGTTACGGGTCTATCTGTAGGCGGGTCTATTGCTATATGTAGGGTTGGTATTCATGAAATTCCTGGTCTAAAGAGTGACAAAATCTGATTTTAAAACCGATGTCCTTGAACTCATGCAGACGTGAACAGGTTATTTGATGCTCTTGGAAGAATTGTCTTGACGGTAGCGTCCGGCTGTCTGAAGTGTCCAGTCCGTCTATCAGACGCATCCCTACCCAACCTGCCCCGTCCTCAGCGACAAGCACTAAAGGAATTTGTAACGTAAGTATATTGTCCTCAGTTTCTATGTATTATGATATGTACCTATATAATGGCCTAGAATTCTGACAGCCATCTGCATAAAATATTGCCTCATGATGTTTGCAGCATTTTAATGGTAAAAGATACGGCGGTGTCCATGTTGTCAAATTTCACGTAGGATAATTCTTAAGGAATGTCATGCATATCATATATCGACTTATTTAGATTTCATACCCACTACGTCCAGAGACTCAACAGAAAAGTGCGACTTCTCAGCAATACGATAGTACAACACCGCCGTTCACTGGAGACTCTAGGAGACGTTCAAAAGGTAAGTATACATTAGTACAACACCGCCGTTAACTGGGGACTGTAGGGGACGTTCATTATGTAATTACACATTAGTACAACACCACCGTTCTCTAGGTGACGTTCAGTAGGGAATTACACATTAGTACAACACCACCGTTCCCTAGGAGACGTTCAGAAGGTAATTACACGTTAGTACAACACCACCGTTCTCTAGGAGCCGTTCAGTAGGTAATTACACATTAGTACAACACCCCCGTTCTCTAGGAGACGTTCAGTAGGTAATTTCACATTAGTACAACACCACCGTTAACTGCGGACTGTAGGAGCCGTTCAGTAAGTAATTACACATTAGTACAACACCACCCATTAGTACAACACCGCCGTTAACTGGGGCCTGTAGGGGACGTTCATTATGTAATTACACATTAGTGCAACACCACCGTTCTCTAGGAGACGTTCAGAAGGTAATTGCTCATTAGTACAACACCACCGTTTAGGGGGGACTGTAGGAGACGTTCAGTATGTAATTACACATTAGTACAACACCACCGCTAACTGGGGACTGTAGGGGACGTTCATTATGTAATTACACATTAGTGCAACACCACCGTTCTCTAGGAGACGTTCAGTAGGTAATTCTAGGAGACGTTCAGAAGGTAATTACACGTTAGTACAACACCACCGTTCTCTAGGAGCCGTTCAGTAGGTAATTACACATTAGTAAAACACCACCGTTCTCTAGGAGACGTTCAGAAGGGAATTACACATTAGTACAACACCACCGTTCCCTAGGAGACGTTCAGAAGGTAATTACACATTAGTACAAAACCACCGTTTAGGGGGGACTGTAGGAGACGTTCAGTAGGTAATTACACATTAGTACAACACCCCCGTTCTCTAGGAGACGTTCAGTAGGTACTTACACATTATTACAACACCACCGTTCTCTAGGAGACGGTCAGTAGGTAATTACACATTAGTACAACAACGCCGTTCTCTAGGAGACGTTCAGTAGGTACTTACACATTATTACAACACCACCGTTCTCTAGGAGACGCTCAGGAGGTAATTACACATTAGTACAACACCACCCATTAGTACAACACCGCCGTTAACTGGGGCCTGTAGGGGACGTTCATTATGTAATTACACATTAGTACAACGCCACCGTTCTCTAGGAGACGTTCAGTAGGTAATTAAACATTAGTACAACACCACCGTTCTCTAGCAGACGTTCAGTAGGTAATTCCCCCTTAGTACAACACCACCGTTCTCTAGGAGCCGTTCAGTAGGTAATTTCACATTAGTACAACACCACCGTTAACTGGGGACTGTAGGGGACGTTCATTATGTAATTACACATTAGTACAACACCTCCGTTCTCTAGGAGACGTTCAGTAGGTAATTCTAGGAGACGTTCAGAAGGTAATTACACATTAGTACAACACCACCGTTTAGGGGGGACTGTAGGAGACGTTCAGTAGGTAATTACACATTAGTACAACACCACCGTTCTCTAGGAGACGTTCAGTAGGTAATGACACATTAGAAGAACACCACCGTTCTCTAGGAGACGTTCAGTAGGGAAGTACACATTAGTACAACACCATCGTTCTCTAGGAGCCGTTCAGTAGGTAATTTCACATTAGTACAACACCACCGTTCTCTAGGGGCCGTTCAGAAGGTAATTACACATTAGTACAACACCACCGGTCTCTAGGAGACGTTCAGTAGGTAATTTCACATTAGTACAACACCACCGTTAACTGGGACTGTAGGGGACGGTCATTATGTAATTACACATTAGTACAACCCCACCGTTCTCTAGGAGACGTTCAGTAGGTAATTACACATTAGTACAACACCATCGTTCTCTAGGAGACGTTCAGTAGGTAATTTCACATTAGTACAACACCACCGTTAACTGGGGACAGTAGGGGACGTTCAGAAGGTAATTACACATTAGTACAACACCACCGTTCTCTAGGAGACGTTCAGTAGGTAATTTCACATTAGTACAACCCCACCGTTAACTGGGGACTGTAGGGGACGTTCATTATGTAATTACACATTAGTACAACACCACCGTTCGCTAGGAGACGTTCAGTAGGTAATTACACATTAGAACAACACCACCGTTAACTGGGGACTGTAGGGGACGTTCAGTAGGTAATTACACATTAGTACAACCCCACCGTTAACTGGGGACTGTAGGGGACGTTCAGTAGGTAATTACACATTAGTACAACCCCACCGTTAACTGGGGACTGTAGGGGACGTTCAGTAGGTAATTACACATTAGTACAACACAACCGTTCTCTCGGAGACGTTCAGTAGGTAATTACACATTAGTACAACGCCACCGTTCTCTAGGAGACGTTCAGTAGGTAATTTCACATTAGTACAACCCCACCGTTAACTGGGGACTGTAGGGGACGTTCAGTAGGTAATTACACATTAGTACAACACAACCGTTCTCTCGGAGACGTTCAGTAGGTAATTACACATTAGTACAACACAACCGTTCTCTCGGAGACGTTCAGTAGGTAATTACACATTAGTACATCACCACCGTTCTCTAGGAGACGTTCAGTAGGGAATTACACATTAGTACAACACCATCGTTCTCTAGGAGACGTTCAGTAGGTAATTTCACATTAGTACAACACCACCGTTCTCTAGGAGACGATCAGTAGGTAATTACACATTAGTACAACACCACCTTTCTCTAGGAGACGTTCAGTAGGTAATTACACATTAGTACCACACCACCGTTCTCTAGGAGACGTTCAGTAGTTAATTACACATTAGTACAACACCACCGTTCTCTCGGAGACGTTCAGTAGGTAATTACACATTAGTACAACCCCACCGTTCTCTAGGAGACGTTCAGTAGGTAATTTCACATTAGTACAACCCCACCGTTAACTGGGGACAGTAGGGGACGTTCAGAAAGTAATTACACATTAGTACAACACCACCGTTCTCTAGGAGACGTTCAGTAGTTAATTACACATTAGTACAACGCTGTTAGTGAATTGAGAATTTCGGAAACATTCAGCCAATCACACGATAGTTCATCTCGTTGATCAGTGCCTAGTATCATATTTGATTGAAACTCAGGACATAGATTAGACAAAGATCTGACCGACTGCTGAGTAAGGCATATCTCTTCAATTTACAGTTTGGTTTTCAAAAGTCCGTTGGTAATTTTACGGGTCCATAAATCTGTTGTGAGAAAATGGCTATTATGACTCCAGTTTAGTTGTTAACTGTTTTGTAATTTTCAGCGATCACAAACTATCCGCAGACTAATAGAGGATATGAAGCAAGCTTTGGAGACTAAGGAAGCAGAATTGCGCGAATTGAATAAGCGTTGTGGGTCACGTGGGGTATCATGTGACGAACTTGTAGCCAAGAACGAAGACGTACGCCTCCTACAACGAAGGATAAAGCGCAAGAAAACATTGATGGATGGCGCACTAATTCAGACAGATCGAGAAAACGCAACGACCAAAGAGAAACGCCTTAGAGAAAAACTCCAAATGGTGAGTAAAACACGGCCATCTTTAAGCTGAACGTACAAGTAAAGATCTTTTGCTTGTATTGGGGTTAAACGTCCATCCAACAGTTTAAGTCGTGTTAGTAAAGAATCTACACAATGCCATGTAGATAATTGTCATATTTGTCATGTGATGATTTTTTCTTTGTAATGTCTCTTTTGATAACAGCTGAAGATCAATATCAGTCAATCTGCAATACAGAAGGAAAAGTGTAACGATGCTGCTCTTTGTAAGGAGATATCTTATTGAACTCTTCTTCTCCATTATAACATTCCTGATAGCATCAGTTCGACTGTTTAAAGGTGACTTCATCATATATCTTACTGTAACGAATAAAAGGAATGCAATGCAGAAATACCCTAGTGGTATTATTGCATGGAATATTGTTTAAAATCTGTTTTGATTCATCAAGTATAAATTCCCATGAATAAAAGGTGTAACTCCAATGTAAGGGAGGTGAATCTGTGTGAGGTGCCATATATCCTTAATGTTAATATAATGTACATGTTTTTTTTTAAAAGTAAAATGATGCATATCAACCAACCCATCAGAAACCTGTTTCTACGATGACTAATACTCCCAACTCATATGTGTTTGTCTCACCACTCAAACCAAATCACGCAGGTCATTTGTCAAAGTTAACTACGGTTTTCGATTTAGGGGATAGTACGTTGTTTTGAGCGGCTCAGTATACTGGCGATTAGAACATGAAATTCGGTTTGAACTCGAGACCGATAGTATTGACACGAAAAATAACGTACTATCCCCATTCTAACACACCTCAACAAATATACTACGCTAATATGTTTAGAAACATTATATTTCCTTGTACAAAAGTACGTAGTAAAGTACTTTGTGACCTGAACTGGCGACGGGTCATTCTGCAGCGGACTGACCAATCGGAAAGAAGCTTTCAAAAGTCGGTCATTTGGCCCCGCCCATACTGGCGAGCGCTCGATCTGTATGTTCGTTAACGTCCTGTTACCAAAGTTTATACGACACATTTGGATTAATATTGACCAAGTTCTTACATTTCCATGTCAGTATGCATAGCAATCTGTGCTCATCGACAAAATCGGTGATTATTTGTATAGATTTGTGAAGACTTTTGTGTAAATGCATACGACAAATGTGACATGTTTCATTTGAGTTTGGATGTAAATAGATGCCTTCACACGGATGGAACGAACGTTTCAGTAATAAATGGAGGTAAGAACAAGGAATGTGTGCTTCTTACTTTTTAATTAATTCAACAAATACGTTTCATCGGTCGTTTCTGTTCTGTTGCCTACAAGCCTTATCAGCAGGATTTCGCTAAGAGGCGAGCTTGACGCCATATTGTTTTGGTTGGAAACGGGGCGTGGCTTAAGTGCGATGGGAGGAGCTTAACACGATTGATCATGATTCTATCGCAGATTAGAACATGGTCCGTATCCAATCAAAACACGCGTTGCAAACGAATCGTCTTAGAATTCTTATTAAAAGTATTATTAATTTGAAGAAAAAACCCATAATGGAAATCACTGCAAAATGATCGCATGACTATAGGGACAAAAATGACGGCTGGAATTCAATGCAGAGACAGAAGACGCATGTAACATCAGTACTTCTTGTGGAGGGACAGGAGTCAGAACACGTCACTCACCTCACATCAACATCAGCTCAGATCGGCGTGGAATAGCCTTTTTGCAAAAACACCATGATATATCCAATCAAAACACGCGTTGCAAACGAATCGTCTTAGAATTCTTATTAAAAGTATTATTAATTTGAAGAAAAAACCCATAATGGAAATCACTGCAAAATGATCGCATGACTATAGGGACAAAAATGACGGCTGAAATTCAATGCAGAGACAGAAGACGCATGTAAAATCAGTACTTCTTGTGGAGGGACAGGAGTCAGAACCCGTCACTCACCTCACATCAACATCAGTACGTCCTTCTCATGGAGGGACAGGAGCCAGAACACGGCACTCACCTCACATCAACATCAGTACTTCTTATGGAGGGACAGGAGTCAGAACACGTCACTACCCTCACCTCAACATCAGCACTTCTCAGGGAGGGACAGGAGTCAGAACACGTCCCTCACCTCACATCAACATCAGTACTTCTTATGGAGGGACAGGAGTCAGAACACGTCACTACCCTCACCTCAACATCAGCACTTCTCAGGGAGGGACAGGAGTCAGAACACGTCACTACCCTCACCTCAACATCAGCACTTCTCAGGGAGGGACAGGAGTCAGAACACGTCCCTCACCTCACATCAACATCAGTACTTCTTATGGATGGGCAGGAGTCAGAACACGTCACTCACCCCACATCAACATCAGCTCAGATCGGCGTGGAATAGCCTTTTTGCAAAAACACCATGATATATCCAATCAAAACACGCGTTGCAAACGAATCGTCTTAGAATTCTTATTAAAAGTATTATTAATTTGAAGAAAAAACCCATAATGGAAATCACTGCAAAATGATCGCATGACTATAGGGACAAAAATGACGGCTGGAATTCAATGCAGAGGGAGAAGACGCATGTAACATCAGTACTTCTTGTGGAGGGACAGGAGTCAGAACACGTCACCCACCTCATATCAACATTAGTACTTCTCATGGAGGGATAGGAGTCAGAACACGTCACTCACCTGACATCAACATTAGTACTTCTCATGGAAGGACAGGAGTCAGAACACGTCACTCACTTCACATCAACATTAGTACTTCTCATGGAAGGACAGGAGTCAGAACACGTCACTCACCTCACATAATCATCAGCACTTCTCATGGAGGGACAGAAGTCAGAGCACGTCACTCATCTCAAATAAACATCAGGACTTCTCGTGGATGGACAGGAGTCAGAACACGTCACTAACCTCACATCAACATCAGTACTTCTTATGGAGGGACAGGAGGCAGAACACCTCACTCACCTCACATCAACATCAGCTCAGATCGGCGTGGAATAGCCTTTTTGCAAAAACACCATGATATATCCAATCAAAACACGCGTTGCAAACGAATCGTCTTAGAATTCTTATTAAAAGTATTATTAATTTGAAGAAAAAACCCATAATGGAAATCACTGCAAAATGATCGCATGACTATAGGGACAAAAATGACGGCTGGAATTCAATGCAGAGACAGAAGACGCATGTAACATCAGTACGTCTTGTGGAGGGACAGGAGTCAGAAAACGTCACTCCCCTCACATCAACATTAGTACTTCTCGTGGAGGGACAGGAGTCAGAACACGTCACTACCCTCACCTCAACATCAGCACTTCTCAGGGAGGGACAGGAGTCAGAACACGTCACTAACCTCACCTCAAAATCAGCACTTCTCATGGAGGGACAGCAGTCAGAGCACGTCACTCATCTCACACCAACATCAGTACTTCTCATGGAGGGACAAGAGTCAGAACACGTCACTCACCTCACTTCAACATCAGCACTTCACATGGAGGGACAGAAGTCAGAGCACGTCACTCATCTCAAATAAACATCAGGACTTCTCGTGGATGGACAGGAGTCAGAACACGTCACTCACCTCACATCAACATCAGCTCAGATCGGCGTGGAATAGCCTTTTTGCAAAATCACCATGATAGTCATGAACACCTGAAGAGAAATATTCAAATATCAATTAACACCCCCCCCCGCCCCCCCAGTCATTAAACATTAACATAAAGGACACGGACACGGCCTCAGCTTGAGTACAATGCCACATGTGGTACTTGTACACATAAATAATATAGAAGAGATTAAGATGGTCCAACGATGTTCTGCAACTGTAAAATGTGCTACTAACAGGTATTAAATTGTCACAAAACCGCCAGTGTGACAGACATTCTGAGGATCTAGTATGGACGTCACTGCTGGACTGCTGGGCGTCAACGCCAACTACAAAACCAGAACGCTTGAAATACAGCAACATTGTACCACCGTCTTTAACTGATGACTACCAGCACGCCTCCATCGTTAGATCCGTCGCCCAATTGAACACTATCCTAAACTACTTCGTAACAACACCATCATTAAAACAGTTCACGGATGTTCTTGAGAGGACAACCGATGAGTAACGACTGGATTATGTAGATACTTTTAATAGTTGTATCTACAGGTATACTAGAAGCCTCCTGAGAGGCATTATCACAACCGACTATTAACATTAAATGGTACCAGCTAGGCTATGAATTCACATGATTCTTTACTTGCTAGATGTTAGCTATATAAGGACACTTTAAATGGTGACGCCCATCTTCTTGAATGTACTTTCTAGATTCTTGCTGTGCTTACTCTGACGAACTATAGCGTTAACAATATTAAATAATTCCACTTGGTGATTGTTCTGTGACCCGTATGTATAACGCTCTGCCGCCGCTGTTATAACGAGTCAGCTGTCCATTTGGGCCATAAGAGAGACACTCCTTTCCCCCGCCCTTTTCACTCGACCGGTGCCGTCCTATGTTATAACTCCTTGTCTAATTACTGTATGTCTCCGTTTTCTTTTCCTCCGTCCCATTCACAGGTGTACGATGACGTCCTACGTGACACGAAGTACGAGATCATAGACCGCCTTACTTACGGCATGCGGTGTATCCGACAGATCGTCACCAGACTTCCTCCAGACCTGTGAGTATGGAGGCTAGCTTTGCTATATGTTCAGTATGCTACTCGTTGGGGAGAACGACGCCTCTGTCCTGTTCTCAATCTTCGTTGATTAAATAAAGAATGATACTCTTTATTCTATACTAGTATCAGACATGTTCATGTTCCAGATTGTCGATCATTGTCAGGATATCTTCGACACACACATGTATACAAATGATAAATGATTATGCATGATCTTTAATCTACAGTCAGAAGCGCACTCTGCGGATAGTAAATAGCCTCGATTTGGAGGTAACGGCTGAAAGCCTCCTCAAGGTCAGCTCGAAGATCTACGTGTTCCCTGACCTCGAGGTGAGTGTGTTTAGTGTTTTTACCGTTAATGCTGTCCACTGGATGCCATGTCATGTTGGCAGCCGCAAAAACGTTCACTAAAATTGGTTAAAGCGTCTAAAAATATCCGGAAAACGAAAAGTCTTCCAGATTGTTTCATGTTTTAAATGACATTAACAGAAAGTGTATTCGTTTCAAAATGTCATTCGATATACTGTTTGTTAGTATGATGTTGGAAGGCTTATGACGACCGCTATACAGTTCCCAACTGTCTGTAAATTAAAAAAACAAGAAGATTTTCATCAATATTGGAGTAACTCAACATGTTGAAAAGGGTACTGTAGCTTTTACAATTATCATACAAACAAACCCACCAATCTTACATCCGTTTTTAAAAGGACCACAATTTAAGGAGGAGTCTACCAGATGTTATTCTTAAATGATACGTGTTTACATTTCACTTTAACCAGACCCAACTAATCATATTTGGTGTCTAAATAGCGTAGTTATCAAAATCTTCAGCAATCCCTCGAGTTTCACAACGGTGAGGTACCACAAGGCAAGATACTCAACCCCAACGAGGGTCAACTAATTTCCGAGGAGGATCTGTGGGAGAAGCTTGCAGTGTCTCTAGCTAACTCCCTCATGTGTGGACCCAGCAGCCCCGGGGATCAGACCGTCGACTCGGACATGGGGTATTGCTCAAGTACTGGGCGCAACTCTACTGGAGGTAAGCTCTCTCAAACAATAAGGTCCTCTTCTAACCAATAAACTGTGATGTTACAACAGCGGTGTAGGTCCTCTTCTAACCAATAAAAAGAGATGTTACATCAGCGTCATGCTCTCTCCACCAATAAAAATGGATGTTACATTAGCGTCGTGCTCTCTCCACCAATACACTTTGATGTTACATCAGCGTCATGCTCTCATCACCAATAAAACTTGATGTTATATCAGCGTCGTGCTCTCTCTACCACTAACCTGCGATGTTACATGTATTTCTTTTCCCCACAGGTTACACACAACGACCGCCAATGAAGAGGTATGTACGCGTCACACACCCCTCACAGATCGACATTCCTGGGTTTCTCTATCTCAATACAGGTAAGCTTAGACTGCAGAGGTACCGGTGTTTTCTTCATTAATACATCGACAATTCACATAATCTAATCTATGAGCATGCTCGGAAAGTTAATGGCTTCTTAAACAAGGATATATTTTTATTTATTGTGCAGTCCTCGTTAGACTGTTTTATACTCCTGGTATGTCAACATGTTGATAAATGTTATAGTTTATGGCTTTCTATGAAAAAAATGGTCACGGATCACTTATCGTTTTGATTTTTAGGCATGAAGATTAAACAGAAAGTTTACTATGAAGAGCAGGAGATCGCCTTTGGCTGGTATCGTCCTCATAACTTAGCTGCAAAAAGCTGGGGATTCTATCTCACTCGTTTGACCGCACCAGCTTCGTTCTCAAATGATGACCACACAACCACCATCTAGAATATACTCAGTTGAATAAGTGACACTGTCCAGTTACCTGAAGGTACTATAGTCAGCGGCTGCATGACCGATGTGAGATTATGTACATCCTATCAATCTTCTCAAAATCAAATGAAATACGTCAGTTGATCCCATGACTACAATAGAAAGGCGAACGAGGTCATGCCTTCAACACATGACTACAAACGGCAGGGAACGAGGTCATGCCTTTATCACATGACTACAAACGGCAGGGAACGAGGTCATGCCTTCAACACATGACTACAAACGGCAGGGCACGATGTCATGCCTTCATCACATGACTACAAACGGCAGGGAACGAGGTCATGCCTTCATCACATGACTACAATAGAAAGGGAACGAGCTCATGCCTTTATCACATGACTACAAACGGCAGGGAACGAGGTCATGCCTTCATCACATGACTACACTGGAAAGAGCACGAGGTCATGCGTTTATCACATGACTACACTAGAAAGGGCACGAGGTCATGCCTTCATCACAATGTCATGACTACAATAGGCAGAGCACGAGGTCATGCCTTCATCACATGACTACAGCGGGATAATAGCATGTTTTGAACACATTACTACAATAGGGAAGAAACGAGGAATTCCTTGATCACGTACATGATTACGTATTTGTACAATAGTGCACGAGTCATTGATGTTACCTTGATCACAGTCATTATGGGTGCACCAGAATATCATTCGTTCTCATCTGTGATTTGTTTCATATAGCACGTGACCACAGTCACGTGATCAGTTGCCATGACTTCACAATGAAGGTGGTATTTGTACGCATAATGATCCTATCGATGAGGAAATTTTGCTCACTTCCACGTTTTTACAGACGGTTATTTGTTCAATGAGTCTAATAGATCGTTAATGACAGGCCAGGAGGTGATTTTGTTTTCAATAAAAGGAAAGGAAGTTAAAATACATTGTACACTAGCGTGTTCACAAGATATTCAATAAATGCAATTCGATATATTAGTTGTTTTGTTTGACTTGCACGGTTATCCTTATATTATATAATGTAATATGTACTGGTACAACAGTCCCGGTGAATAGCTTGTATCTAGTACAATGGTACTCACTGATGGTATAAACAAACACCGATTTATCAGTATACACCTGACGATACGGAGACAGGTATGTAACACAGTAACAGACTAATCAGTTTATTACACTGGTCTATAACACGATACAACAAACGTATTAAGGCAGCTCCCGAATCAAGAATCAGGACATACGGGGAGGGGGGAAGGTAATGGTCTTCACAACAGCAACCAGGACATACGGAGAGGGGGGAGGGTAATAGTCTTCACAACAGCAACCAGGACATACGGGGAGGGGGGAAGGTAATGGTCTTCACAACAGCAACCAGGACATACGGAGAGGGGGGAGGGTAATAGGCTTCACAACAGCAACCAGGACATACGGGGAGGGGGGAAGGTAATGGTCTTCACAACAGTAACCAGGACATACGGAGAGGGGGGAGGGTAATAGGCTTCACAACAGCAACCAGGACATACGGGGAGGGGGGAAGGTAATGGTCTGCACAACCGCAAGCAGGACATACGGGGAGGGGGGAAGGTAATGGTCTGCACAACCGCAAGCAGGACATACGGGGAGGGGGGAAGGTAATGGTCTTCACAACAGCAACCAGGACATACGGGGAGGGGGGAAGGTAATGGTCTTCACAACAGCAACCGTCTCTTGTTAATACGTTATAGTCTGAATAAGATATTTCCAAACAAAAAAAATCAAATTCCAATAAACGTTCCTATCAAATAAACATCAGCGTAATATAAAGTAACTACATGCAAGTGTACAATTGATGTAACAGGTACACCCTTCATACAACTGCGTGGTATCAATTCAGTGTATGTTGGTTCATACATATATACATGCATATATATCTGTCCCCTGCTATCCGCTGACCCCTGCCTCCTGACCTCTGACCAAAGGAATTGCTAGCCCTGACCTAAAGCTACTGATACAGAACAGCCATAGTGTATTATGCCTATGTCGGCTGGCTTGGAAGTATCCCGTTAATATGACATTAGTATTACAAATAGCCTTCGTCCTCTGTATACTGGCAGACAACGCTAGCTCTGGTAAGTCACACTTAGTCCTACTCATCTGTATACTGGTGGACACAGCTCAGGTAAGTCACACTTAGTCCTCCTCCTCTGTATACTGGTGGATACAGGTCAGGTAAGTCACACTTAGTCCTCCTCCTCTGTATACTGGTGGACACAGGTCAGGTTAGTCACACTTAGTCCTACACCTCTGTATACTGGTGGACACAGCTCAGGTAAGTCACACTTAGTCCTCCTCCTCTGTTTACTGGTGAACACAGCTCAGGTAAGTCACACTTAGTCCTCCTCCTCTGTATATTGGTGGACACAGCTCAGGTAAGTCACACTTAGTCCTCTTCCTCTGTATATTGTTGGACACAGTACAGGTAAGTCACACTTAGTCCCCCTTCTCTGTATACGGGTGAACACAGCTCAGGTAAGTCACACTTAGTCCTCCTCCTCTGTTTACTGGTGAACACAGCTCAGTTAAGTCACACTTATTCCTCCTCCTCTGTTTTCTGGTGGACACAGCTCAGGTAAGTCACACTGAGTCCTCCTCCTCTGTATACAGGTGGACACAGCTCGGGTAAGTCACACTTAGTCCTCCTCCTCTGTATACTGGTGGACACAGCTCAGGTAAGTCACACTTAGTCCTCCTCCTCTATATACTGGTGGACACAGCTCATGTAAGTCACACTTAGTCCTCCTCCTCTGTATATTGTTGGACACAGTACAGGTAAGTCACACTTAGTCCTCCTCTTCTGTATACTGGTGGACACAGCTCAGGTAAGTCCCACTTAGTCCTCCTCCTCTGTATACTGGTGGACACAGCTCATGTAAGTCACACTTAGTCCTCCTCCTCTGTATACTGGGGGACACAGCTCAGGTAAGTCACACTTAGGCGTCCTCCTCTGTATACTGGTGGACACAGCTCAGGTAAGTCACACTTAGGCGTCCTCCTCTGTATACGGGTGGACACAGCTCAGGCAAGTCACACTTAGTCCTCCTCTTCTGTATACTGGTGGACACAGCTCAGGTAAGTCGCACTTAGTCCTCCTCCTCTGTATACGGGTGGACACAGCTCAGGTAAGTCACACTAAGTCCTCCTCCTCTGTTTAATGGTGAAAACATCTCAGGTAAGTCACACTTAGTCCTCTTCCTCTGTATACTGGTGGACACAGCTCAGGTAAGTCACACTTAGTCCTCCTCCTCTGTATACTGGTGGACACAGCTCAGGTAAGTCACACTTAGTCCTCCTCCTCTGTATACTGGTGGACACAGCTCAGGTAAGTCACACTTAGGCCTCCTCTGTATACTGGTGAACACAGCTCAGGTAAGACACACTTAGTTTATATATCTGTATAAATGTGATGAGTATGATTTGTGTTTTGCTATTCCACATCGATAGTCCTTTCAAGGTAGTTTATTGTAAGGGAACACCAAAATGTTGACGATGTTTGGCGCAGTATTTGTAGTTGTAGCTTCTGGTTGGTTAAATTAATGTTTTTTTTTTCATAAATGAATAAAGCAAAAAGTGTTTAAATATGACTTTATAAAAGTATACTTTTCTCCTATGCAATAGAGCCAGGTAAGCTTTCCTTCGCCTCGTACTATGGCGACCACATGGTATTACAGCGCGCGCCCCAGCGAGCCGTTGTGTGGGGCTACGCTTCCCTACCCGTGGGATCAGTCAACGTTACGGTGAAGGGGGCAGGAAGTACGATCGGAGTAAACTACACATCACGTGTGTCCCCTCATCCAGAAACTGGCGGGGTATGGAGCGTAACCCTCCGACCCGTAAACGACACTAAACCCTACACTTTGACGCTGGCTGGCCGAGCAGGCACGGAGAAAATCAGCGATGTCTTATTCGGGGACGTATGGCTCTGCTCGGGGCAAAGCAACATGCAGTTCACTGTGAATATGGTAGGCCAGTAATTCCCTCCTCTATGTACCGCTCTTTCTCCCACACTCACTGTAGGTTTCCTCACTCACGAACCTGCTAGGAGTTGGTTAACATTTTTCGTTACCCACTAGCGGGCTACACCCTGGACGTGAATGACCTTTACTTATATTCAAGGTCAGAGGGGTCAAATATGTTTAAAACATTTAAACGACTTCTTCTGAATAACCAAAAGGCCTAAGATGATGCTATTTTGCCAGTAGCATGCTGTTATAAAGGGCTACCAAGTTTGTTCAAATAAATGACCTTGACAAATATTCAAGGTCACAATGGTGAAATATGTTTAAAACCTTTATACAATTTCTCCTCAAAAACCGAAAGTCCTAGGATAGGGATATTTGACCAGTAGCATGCTGGAATAAAGATCTACCAAGTTTGTTCAATGGAATGACCTTGACTTATATTCAAGGTCACATGGGTCAAATATGTTAAAAAACCTTTAAACAACTTCTTCTGAATAACTAAGAGGCTTAGGGATAAGATATATGCCCAGTAGCATGCTGTGATAAAGGGCTACGAAGTTTGTTCAAATGAATGACCTTCGTCCATATTCAAGGTCACAGTGGTCAATATATGTTTAAATCTTTAAATGATTTGTTCTGTATAAATAAAAAGTCCAGGGTAATGATGTTTTGATAGTAGAAGCATGCTGGGTCGTGTTCAACCTAATGTCCTTGTTCGACATTCAAGGTCACGGGCGTCATATGTTTAAATCTTTTAATAGGTTCTTATTAATCAAACACTGATATTCTGCCTGTGGTTGTATTTTAGTCCTCTTTTAAGATTACAAGTGTGAGATTAATACCAGGTGAGCGAGTTAGGCCCCTTGGGCCTTTTGTTATGAATTGGTTTAATTAACCCAATAGTCCATGATTCTGGGACTATACCTGTGTCGAGAATTACATTAAAAAGTTTTACATATATAGGAAAAAAACAGTCAGTAGTAGTTTTCAAATATTCATATGTAGGTATTTATTCTACTAATACTATTCTACTATTAAATTGTACGACGCTGATATGACATTCAATCCCTAGACTCCATTTTTTTTTATATATATATTTGTGGGGGGTTTTGTGGATAATAAAACATTCTATCATCGAAAAGATGTCTGACTACATAAACTCTTATTACACATGATTTATCTAATTAAAGCACAATTCCATCAGTTATACCTTAGGCTTGACGACAAAATGCCTTCTAATAAACGAATCTTAATTAGGCTATCTCTATCAAACACTTTCCCTTTATGATCATCGAATACATTTTTATACTGAAAACTTGAAATATTTAGTTTTTTTATCATTGTTAGACATATATTGAACACGTTGGTGACATACAACGTCTTCTTTAACAATATTATCTCTGATGATACTTTGACTATGGTAACTATGGCCTTGACCTGTTGTCTGTTAACCCTTGACCTCGTGTATACATGTTTATATATATTTAGTAAATATATGACCTTGACCTGTTGTCGGTTAACCTTTGACCTCACGTATACATGTTTATATTTGTATAGCAAATATATGACCTTTGCCTATCAATACAGTCCTATAACGCGTCAGTCCAGCTGGAGGATGTAGCTAACTACACTAGCGTCCGGGTGTTCACGGCACAAGAAGCCACGTCACGTGTCGCGCTTAGAGACTTGAAAGCTGTTTTGGAACCCTGGTCCATCCCCAGCAAAGGTCAGTTACACTGGTTCAATGTCAGATGTTACAATGTTAAAAACAGCTCTGGGAATAGTTTAAACAATGCCGTTTGCAGACGCACTGGTTTTGTTCTATTTCTTGCATAGTTAAACATAATGAAAACTCAAATCTCACCCAGTCTTTTATATTGCACGCGTTTTTTGAACCTGATCATGTAATCTGTCTGCTACATAACAAAGAGTCAATACGGTCTTACATAAGTACAGAGTGGATGGTTCGGTCTCAGAACCATGATGTCCTTATATCAATGACAAACATGACAAGTGCTAATACATTCGTTTGTTGTTGGTAGTTTGTTAGATGTTGTACATATACAAAACTTACGATCAAAAGTTCACTTCTGTAAGAGTATGGTTTCATTGTCTTGACAGCGTCCCTGGAGGGAAGGGAGTTTACGTACTTCTCGGATCTGTGCTGGCTGTACGGCAGATATCTACATGACCATCTCATGTACCCGATTGGTTTAATCGATACCACGTGGGGTGAAACCGCCATTGAGCAGTGGACGTCTTCTGCCGTACTGAAGAAATGCAACGTTACCCCCAAGTATGGCCGTCTGCAATTTCATATACGGATTGAACGGCGTTTTTTAATTTTCATGACGGTATGAACGTAAATCGGTTACATCCATATTGCGCTAGGCCTTCATGTTTAACAACGGGCACTTCGCGATCGTCCGAGCAGTGCGAGCCGATATGGCAACCCATGGACGGAAAGTACGGGAAAATGAGAGTGCATTAGTTCTATGCTATATGAAGGCTTCAAAAACTTTCGTCCTTCCGATCGTACAGGCTCTCAAAAAACGGCAACTTGTGTTGCCCGTGCCTGCATTGATGTTCTTTTTTTGCACAAACAATTAATTTGACATTTTGAACGAATATGTTGTATTTTTGTCGTATCTCCGGCAGATTTTTATATTCAGAAACAATTCTACGTTACTTTTACAAGTCGATGTTACTGATGAAATCCTTCGATGTCCTACATATTATTTTGATTTTTTCATTTTTTTCGAACTGAAAATTGTTTCTATGTAGTACGTGCTCTTGGTTATTTGTCTTTAGCTTCAAAATAGCATCAATTGATACTGATAAGTCCGTATATATATTTACTAGGCATATGACGTTCACAACATGTGACGCGACTGTGACGTCACTATTAACACGCGTCATCGTAGTGTTGACAATACATTCACTGAAACTACATCTTTGATGTAGTACACGTATTTCGTGCATTTACTTTTAAAAAAGTCCTTCTGAAGTCATTTTAACACAAGTTCAAATACAAAGAAATGTTCTTTCTGAATTTTTCAGCAAACACAAAGAGAATTTTTCTTCTGAATTTTCATTTCGGAATATTGTCATAGTTTTCCTTTACCTAATTTTTAAGAACATGATTTATTTTTCAAATGGGCATTTTGCTGTGCCATCTGCTTCTTCACCTTTCCAAATCATTTTAGAGAAAAATCTGCAGTAAATTCTCTTACAGTAAATGATTTACAAATCAGAATATTTTAATAAAGAAAATATTTGTCCCTTGAAAAATGGAATGGAGTAATAACAGATACAAACAGATATAAACAATAGATAGAAGTACAAAATATCCCAATATGGACGGCTGATCGATTTTTGTTACATTTAAATATATCCCTCTGAATATCGCCAATACTTGATTTGCAAGTATTTCTGAGGTGCTTTGAAAACAACGAACCAGGGCAGATCCATTGCGGCAGGGTTCAATATGGGGTAAAGGCACCTTAGGGGGGACCGGGACAAGCTCGGCCCTGGGGTAACTCCGGCACCTTAGGGGGGACCGGGACAAGCTCGGCCCTGGGGTAACTCCGGCCACTCCTGGTATTTTTGGTATTGAGCAAATATTTACAACTTTGAGGATCTAAGCAGTGCAGTTCACTAGGCAGGACACTCAATCGAAAAAAATCGCGGGAAACTATAAATTTAGATTACTAAAAGCGAGAAAATCTTTTTTTGGGAGGGTAGAAAGAAAATTACGACCTCGCTTATTTCTAGTTTTGTAAACTTTCTGTAAACCGAAATGCTACTTATTGATGCCATACGTGTAACAAACCAGCTTCACATGATGGCATACATAAAAGCCTAGCATTGAGTTTTGTATTGCTATGATATACAGATTTCTTAAAATATCAATTTGGGTCAGGTTCGTTCCATGACACAGGGCAGGTTCGGCCCATGCCATACTAGGGAAGCTGTGAAATTAGCGGGAAAGTAGGACGTTGCATGCTTTATGACGTCAAAAATATGCTAATTCCAGTGTGGGCCGAACTTAATTACCCCAGACACCCTGTCCGAAGTTACCCCAAGGCGGTGCACATTAGGCCATACACTCTTCCGACCGTAAAGACTTAAATTAATTTTCAAATACGGACATGTTTGCCATTCTGTAGTTTTATGAAGGGCATAGAATTTCTCTTCCGAATGGTTAATTTTAACAAATGCTGTCCAGAAAACTTTAATGAAAATGGGCCAAACTTGCCCTGTCTACCCGATATTTTGAAAGAAAATCCAACGGGCTGGCAGGGGTTTGGGGAGGGTTGAGGAATCCTTAGCTATCCCCCCCCCCCAACAAATATATAATTATGTAGGATAGTTCCTACATTGAAGTATGCAAGGATTGGATTCTAACTATTCTACCGACTGTACATAAAATGAAACAGTTAAATTATGCAGAAAAATGTATTTGCATGTGTGCCCTCTGATTAGGTCTGACCTATTTCATATTATGGATGAAACCGATTTGCGTTCATACCGACATGGAAATTTAAAAAACGCCGTTCATTCCATATAATTACATTTTAACTATAGAACAATTGTTAATTATAATTTATTTGTTCTTGAAGGATTTATTTATTTACTGCGTTTTGTTTATGTTTCGTTCTTTAAACGACATTGGTGGAACAGCCCTTTTTAAATAAAATTGGCGCCAATAATTAACCGCAGTGATATGAGCGTTTGACGCAGGGGCATTCGAAGCGAAGTGACAAGACTTGCATTAAACAAGGTTAATCTATGACGTAATAAGTATATCACGTGTTATGTAACGTGAGTTATTGTTTTCATACTTAAATGAAATGCATCTGCTGGTAATGTTCATATAGAGGGTTGCAGCGCAAATGTAAATATATCTATACAATATATCTATACCATATATCTATACAATATATCTATACCATATATCTATACAATATATCTATACAATATATCTATGCAATATATCTATACCATATATCTATACACACCTTTATATCTTTGTACTGATACATGATGATGGACCTAGAGTCTTTGAGGGAACTCTTACTTACGTCAAACAACCAGCCTAATGGATTAAAAGGCTTGCTATATTGCAGTTTACTCGTGTAAAGTATTTTATATAATATAAACGTTACAGGTAGTTTAAGTCGTAAAACAACAAAAATAGTCCGGAGGAAAGTCACCGTATCTTTGTTAATGTTACAGGCCTCTACATGACTCGGAGCTGTGGAACGCCATGATCAGTCCGTTCGCCAGCATGTCCCTGTATGGCGTCATCTGGTACCAAGGTTTGTAAGACCATCATCGTTATCGACAGTGTATGTTTCTCCTCATGTTCATTCTGTCTCTCCCGATCCTTCATCATTTACTGCTCTTTCTATCCTATATTATTTATATTGCTCTAAATGCTGATAGAAATGGCAGATTGTCTGCAAAGAGTAGCAAAGCATTGCTTTGTTTTAAACATGTAATAAGATCTTTTACTAGCCCCGTGTATTTGTATAATGTGACTGTATAAAGAAGAGTGATACATTATCAGTATACCCGTGTTGACCTCCAGGGGAATCCAACGCCCCGGAACCCAGTACGTACAACTGCACGTTCCCGGGAATGATTGAGGATTGGCGCAAGCATTTCTCATCCAACAGTGATACCAGGCCAGAATTCCCTTTCGGGTTTGTGCAGGTAAAGTCTTCCCTTTTAGTTTTGTCTATAAAACGTCTTTCCCTTAGTAATAAAAGCGGTTTGTAGGCATCATTTCTTCCCAAACTAACGAATTGTTCCGGAAACCTATCTCTCTAAACTAAAAGTATTGTACAGGTAGGTAATTTTCTTAGTTCAATCTCTGTTTGGCAGTATCTTCTTGGTCATTCCTCTCGGTGCTTTACGTTGATACAGTAACATCTTTGTGTTGCTGTGATATAGGTAACGTCCTGCCTTAAGCCTGGTGCAAGTAAAGGTAACGTCCTGCCTTAAGCCCGGTGCAAGTAAAGGTAACGTCCTCCCTTAAGCCTGGTGTAGGAATAGGTAACGTCCTGCCTTTAGCCTGGTGCAAGTAAAGGTAATGTCCTGACTTAAGCCTGGTGCAAGTAAAGGTAACGTCCTGCCATTAGACTGGTGCAAGTAAAGGTAACGTCCTGCCTTAAGCCCGGTGCAAGTATAGGCAACGTCCTGCCTTAAGCCTGGTGCAAGTAAAGGTAACGACCTGCCTTTAGCCTGGTGCAAGTAAAGGTAATGTCCTGACTTAAGCCTGGTGCAAGTATAGGTCACGTCCTGCCTTAAGCCCGGTGCAAGTATAGGTAACGTCCTGCCTTAAGCCTGGTGCAAGTATAGGTAACGTCCTGCCTTAAGCCCGGTGCAAGTAAAGGTAACGTCCTCCCTTAAGCCTGGTGTAGGAATAGGTAACGTCCTGCCTTTAGCCTGGTGCAAGAATAGGTAATGTCCTGACTTAAGCCTGGTGCAAGAAAAGGTAACGTCCTGCCTTTAGCCTGGTGCAAGTACAAGTAACGTCCTGCCTTTAGCCTGGTGCAAGTACAAGTAACGTCCTGCCTTTAGCCTGGTGCAAGTACAAGTAACGTCCTGCCTTTAGCCTGGTGCAAGTATAGGTAACGTCCTGTGATGCAAGTATAGGTAATGTCCTGACTTAAGCCTGGTGCAAGTAAAGGTAACGTCCTGCCATTAGACTGGTGCAAGTAAAGGTAACGTCCTGCCTTAAGCCCGGTGCAAGTAAAGGTAACGTCCTCCCTTAAGCCTGGTGTAGGAATAGGTAACGTCCTGCCTTTAGCCTGGTGCAAGTATAGGTAACGTCCTGTGATGCAAGTATAGGTAATGTCCTGACTTAAGCCTGGTGCAAGTATAGGTCACGTCCTGCCTTAAGCCCGGTGCAAGTATAGGTAACGTCCTGCCTTAAGCCTGGTGCAAGTAAAGGTAACGTCCTGCCTTAAGCCTGGTGTAGGAATAGGTAACGTCCTGCCTTTAGCCTGGTGCAAGTATAGGTAATGTCCTGACTTAAGCCTGGTGCAAGTATAGGTAACGTCCTGCCTTTAGCCTGGTGCAAGTATAGGTAACGTCCTGCCTTAAGCCTGGTGCAAGTAAAGGTAACGTCCTGCCTTTAGCCTGGTGCAAGTATAGGTAATGTCCTGACTTAAGCCTGGTGCAAGTATAGGTAACGTCCTGCCTTAAGCCTGGTGCAAGTATAGGTAACGTCCTGCCTTAAGCCTGGTGCAAGTAAAGGTAACGTCCTGCCTTTAGCCTGGTGTAAGTATAGGTAATGTCCTGACTTAAGCCTGGTGCAAGTAAAGGTAACGTCCTGCCTTTAGCCTGGTGCAAGTATAGGTAATGTCCTGACTTAAGCCTGGTGCAAGTATAGGTAACGTCCTGCCTTAAGCCTGGTGCAAGTATAGGTAACGTCCTGCCTTAAGCCTGGTGCAAGTATAGGTAACGTCCTGCCTTAAGCCTGGTGCAAGTAAAGGTAACGTCCTGCCTTTAGCCTGGTGTAAGTATAGGTAATGTCCTGACTTAAGCCTGGTGCAAGTAAAGGTAACGTCCTGCCTTTAGCCTGGTGCAAGTATAGGTAATGTCCTGACTTAAGCCTGGTGCAAGTATAGGTAACGTCCTGCCTTTAGCCTGGTGCAAGTATAGGTAACGTCCTGCCTTTAGCCTGGTGCAAGTATAGGTAACGTCCTGTCTTGCAAGTATAGGTAATGTCCTGACTTAAGCCTGGTGCAAGTATAGGTAACGTCCTGCCTTTAGCCTGGTGCAAGTATAGGTAACGTCCTGCCTTTAGCCTGGTGCAAGTATAGGTAACGTCCTGCCTTTAGCCTGGTGCAAGTATAGGTAACGTCCTGCCTTTAGCCTGGTGCAAGTATAGGTAACGTCCTGCCTTTAGCCTGGTGCAAGTATAGGTAACGTCCTGCCTTTAGCCTGGTGCAAGTATAGGTAACGTCCTGCCTTTAGCCTGGTGCAAGTATAGGTAACGTCCTGCCTTTAGCCTGGTGCAAGGATAGGTAACGTCCTGCCTTTAGCCTGGTGCAAGGATAGGTAACGTCCTGCCTTTAGCTTGGTGCAAATATAGGTAACGTTCTGCCTTTAGCCTGGTGCAAGAATAGGTAACGTCCTGCCTTTAGCCTGGTGCAAGGATAGGTAACGATCTGTGGTGCAAGTATAGGTAACTGCCTTTAGCCTGGTGCAAGTACATGTAACGTCCTGCCTTTAGCCTGGTGCAAGTATAGGTAACGTCCTGTCTTTCGCCTGGTGCAAGTATAGGTAACGTTCTGTGGTGCAAGTAAAGGTAACGTCCTGGCTTTAGCCTGGTGCAATTATAGGTACCGTCCTGCCTTTAGCCTGGTGCAAGTACATGTAACGTCCTGCCTTTAGCCTGGTGCAAGTATAGGTAACGTCCTGTCTTTCGCCTGGTGCAAGTATAGGTGACGTTCTGTGGTGCAAGTAAAGGTAACGACCTGGCTTTAGCCTGGTGCAATTATAGGTCCCGTCCTGCCTTTAGCCTGGTGCAAGTTCATGTAACGTCCTGCCTTTAGCCTGGTGGAAGAATAGGTAACGTCCTGCCTTTAGCCTGGTGCAAGGATAGGTAACGTTCTCCCATTAGCCTGGTGCAAGTATAGGTAACGTTCTGTGGTGCAAGTAAAGGTAACGTCCTGCCTTTAGCCTGGTGCAAGGATAGTGCAAGTATAGGTAACTGCCTTTAGCCTGGTGCCAGTACATGTGACGTCCTGCCTTTAGCCTGGTGGATGTATAGGTAACGTCCTTCCTTTAGCCTGGTGCAAGTATAAGTAACGTCCTGCCTTTAGCCTGGTGCAAGTAGAGGTAACGTCCTGCCTTTAGCCTGGTACAAGTATAGGTACCGTCCTGCCTTTAGTCTGGTGCAAGTATAGGTAACGTGGTGCAAGTATAGGTAACTGCCTTTAGCCTGGTGCAAGTACATGTGACGTCCTGCCTTTAGCCTGGTGGATGTATAGGTAACGTCCTTCCTTTAGCCTGGTGCAAGTATAGGTAACGTCCAGCCTTAAGCCAGGTGCAAGTAAAGGTAACGTCCTACCTTTAGCCTGGTGCAAGTATAGGTAACGTCCAGCCTTAAGCCAGGTGCAAGTAAAGGTAACGTCCTACCTTTAGCCTTGTGCAAGTATAAGTAACGTCCTGCCTTTAGCCTGGTGCAAGTATAAGTAACGTCCTGCTTTTAGCCTGGTGCAAGTATAACTAACGTCCTGCCTTTAGCCTGGTGCAAGGATATGTAACGTCCTGCCTTTAGCCTGGTGCAAGTATAAGTAACGTCCTGCCTTTAGCTTGGTGCAAGTATAGGTAACGTTCTGCCTTTAGCCTGGTGCAAGTATAGGTAACGTTCTGTGGTTCAAGTAAAGGTAACGTCCTGCCTTTAGCCTGGTGCGAGCAAAGGTAACGTCCTGCCTTTAGCATGGTGCAAGTATACGTCCTACCTTTAGCCTTGTGCAAGTATAAGAAAGGTAACGTCCTACCTTTAGCCTGGTGCAAGTATAAGTAACGTCCTGCCTTTAGCTTGGTGCAAGTATAGGTAACGTTCTGCCTTTAGCCTGGTGCAAGTAAAGGTAACGTCCTGCCTTTAGCACGGTGGAAGGATAGGTAACGTCCTGCCTTAAGCCGGGTGCAAGTAAAGGTAACGTCCTGCCTTTAGCTTGGTGCAAGTAAAGGTAACGTCCTGCCTTAAGCCGGGTGCAAGTAAAGGTAACGTTCTACCTTTAGCCTGGTGCAAGTATAAGTAGCGTCCTGCCTTTAGCCTGGTGCAAGGATAGGTAACGTCCTGCCTTAAGCTGGGTGCAAGTAAAGGTAACGTCCTGCCTTTAGCCTGGTGCGAGCAAAGGTAACGTCCTGCCTTTAGCATGGTGCAAGTAAAGGTAACGTCCTGCCTTAAGCCGGGTGCAAGTAAAGGTAACGTCCTGCCTTTAGCCTGGTGCAAGTATAAGTAACGTCCTGACTTTAGCCTGGTGCAAGGAAAGGTAACATCCTGCCTTTAGCTTGGTGCAAGGATAGGTAGCGGCCTGCCTTTAGCCTGGTGCAAGGATAGGTAACGTCCTGCCTTTAGCTGGGTGCAAGTAAAGGTAACGTTCTACCTTTAGCCTGGTGCAAGTATAAGTAACGTCCTGCCTTTAGCCTGGTGCAAGTATAAGTAACGTCCTGTGGTGCAAGTATAGGTAACGTCCTGTGGTGCAAGTATAGGTAACATCCTGACTTTAGCCTGGTGCAAGGATAGGAAACGTCCTGCCTTTAGCCTGGTGCAAGTATAGGTAACGTCCTGTGGTGCAAGTATAGGTAACGTCCTACCTTTAGCCTGGTGCAAGTATAAGTAACGTCCTGCCTTTAGCCTGGTGCAAGGATAGGTAACGTCCTGCCTTTAGCCTGGTGCAAGTATAAGTAACGTCCTGCCTTTAGCCTGGTGCAAGTACATGTAACGTCCTGCCTTTAGCCTGGTGCAAGTATAAGTAACGTCCTGCCTTTAGCCTGGTGCAAGTATAGGTAACGTCCTGCCTTTAGCCTGGTGCAAGTATAAGTAACGTCCTGCCTTTAGCCTGGTGCAAGGATAGGTAACGTCCTGCCTTTAGCCTGGTGCAAGTATAAGTAACGTCCTGACTTTAGCCTGGTGCAAGTAAAGGTAACGTCCTACCTTTAGCCTGGTGCAAGTATTAATAACGTCCTGCCTTTAGCCTGGTGCAAGGATAGGTAACGTCCTGCCTTTAGCCTGGTACAAGTATAGGTAACGTCCTGCCTTTAGTCTGGTGCAAGTATAGGTAACGTCCTGTGGTGCAAGTATAGGTAACGTCCTACCTTTAGCCTGGTGCAAGTATAAGTAACGTCCTGCCTTTAGACTGGTGCAAGTACATGTAACGTCCTGCCTTTAGCCTGGTGCAAGTATAAGTAACGTCCTGCCTTTAGACTGGTGCAAGTACATGTAACGTCCTGCCTTTAGCCTGGTGCAAGTAAAGGTAACGTCCTACCTTTAACCTGGTGCAAGTATTAATAACGTCCTGCCTTTAGCCTGGTGCAAGTATAGGTAACGTCCTGCATTTAGCCTGGTGCAAGTAATGTCATGTTTCAGACTTAATACAAGTAACACAAGGTCATGCTGATGGTAAATTTGAACTATTTAATTTTCGGCTGTCTAGCTAGGTCCCAATCATAATGACTCTAGCATCACCGCTGGATTTCCAGACATTCGATGGCATCAGACTGCTGATGTGGGCTATGTTCCGAACACGCTCATGCCGAACACATTTATGGCGGTGGCGATGGACCTGCCCGACTTCAAGTCTCCCTGGGATAGGTGAGTATATATACATTATGTTTAAATTCAGCAATTATTCAGTTATAGTTTTACAGTTCATGGTTTCCGTCTGCGGGACATATTGTGAAGTGTATAACGGTATCCATCTACTGGGCCTACTGTGAAGTGTATGACGGTATCCATCTACTGGACATAGTGTGAAGTGTATGACGGTATCTATCTACTGGGCATATTGTGAAGTGTATGACCGTACCATCTACTGGGCATATTGTGAAGTGTATGACGGTACCATCTACTGGGCATATTGTGAAGTGTATGACAGTATCTATCTACTGGACATATTGTGAAGTTTATAACAGTATCCATCTACTGGGCATAGTGTGAAGTGTATGACGGTACCATCTACTGGACATATTGTGAAGTGTATAACGGTACCATCTACTGGACATATTGTGAAGTGTATGATGGTATATATCTACTGGACATATTGTGAAGTGTATGACGGTATCCATCTACTGGACATATTGTGAAGTGTATGACGGTATCCATCTACTGGGCATATTGTGAAGTGTATGACCGTACCATCTACTGGGCATATTGTGAAGTGTATGACGGTGTCCATCTACTGGACATGTTGTGAAGTGTATGACGGTATCCATCTACAGGACATATTGTGAAGTGTATGACGGTATCTATCTACTGTGCATATTATGAAGTGTATGACGGTATCTATCTACTGGGCATATTGTGAGGTGTATGACGGTATCTATCTACTGTGCATATTGTGAAGTGTATGACGGGATCTATCTACTGGGCATATTGTGAAGTGTATGACGGTATCCATCTACTGGACATGTTGTGAAGTGTATGACGGTATCTATCTACTGGGCATATTGTGAAGTGTATGACGGTACCATCTAATGGGCATGTTGTGAAGTGTATGACGGTATCTATCTACTGGACATATTGTGAAGTGTATAACGGTATCCATCTACTGGGCATAGTGTGAAGTGTATGACGGTATCCATCTCCTGGACATATTGTGAAGTGTATGACGGTATCCATCTACTGGACATATTGCGAAGTGAATGACGGTACCATCTACTGGACATATTGTGAAGTGTACAACGGTACCATCTACTGGACATATTGTGAAGTGTATGACGGTATCCATCTACTGGGCATAGTGTGAAGTGTATGACGGTATCTATCTACGGGGCATATTTTGAAGGGTATGACGGTATCGATCTCCTGGACATATTGTGAAGGGTATGACGGTATCTATCTACTGGGCAAATTGTGAAGTGTATGACGGTATCAGCTACTGGACATATTGTGAAGTGTAAGACGGTACCATCTACTGGGCATATTGCATGACGGTACCATATGTGTATGACGGTATCTATCTACTGGGCAAATTGTGAAGTGTATGACGGTATCAGCTACTGGACATATTGTGAAGTGTATGACGGTATCATCTACTGGACATATTGTGAAGTGTATGACGGTATATATCTACTGGGCATATTGTGAAGTGTATGACGGTACCATCTACTGGGCATATTGCATGACGGTACCATATGTAGCAGTATCCACCTCTGGTATTTATTGTAGCAGTATCCATCCCTGGTATTTATTGTAGCAGTATGTATGACGGTATATATCTACTGGGCATATTGTGATGTGTATGACGGTACCATCTAATGGGCATGTTGTGAAGTGTATGACGGTACCATCTACTGGGTGACGGTATCCATCTACTGGACATATTGCATGACGGTACCATATGTAGCATTATCCACCTCTGGTATTTATTGGAGCAGTATCCATCCCTGGTGGGGGTTGTAGCAGTATCCATCCCTGGTATCTATTGTAGCAGTATCCATCGCTGGTATTTATTGTAGCTGTATCCATCCCTGGTATTTATTGTAGCAGTATCCATCCCTGGTATTTATTGTAGCAGTATCCATCCCTGGTATTTATTGTAGCAGTATCCATCCCTGGTATTTATTGTAGCAGTATCCATCCCTGGTATTTATTGTAGCAGTATCCATCCCTGGTATTTATTGTAGCAGTATCCATCCCTGGTATTTATTGTAGCAGTATCCATCCCTGGTATTTATTGTAGCAGTATCCATCCCTGGTATTTATTGTAGCAGTATCCATCCCTGGTATTTATTGTAGCAGTATCCATCCCTGGTATTTATTGTAGCAGTATCCATCCCTGGTATTTATTGTAGCAGTATCCATCCCTGGTATTTATTGTAGCAGTATCCATCCCTGGTATTTATTGTAGCAGTATCCATCCCTGGTATTTATTGTAGCAGTATCCATCCCTGGTATTTATTGTAGCAGTATCCATCCCTGGTATTTATTGTAGCAGTATCCATCCCTGGTATTTATTGTAGCAGTATCCATCCCTGGTATTTATTGTAGCAGTATCCATCCCTGGTATTTATTGTAGCAGTATCCATCCCTGGTATTTATTGTAGCAGTATCCATCCCTGGTATTTATTGTAGCAGTATCCATCCCTGGTATTTATTGTAGCAGTATCCATCCCTGGTATTTATTGTAGCAGTATCCATCCCTGGTATTTATTGTAGCAGTATCCATCCCTGGTATTTATTGTAGCAGTATCCATCCCTGGTATTTATTGTAGCAGTATCCATCCCTGGTATTTATTGTAGCAGTATCCATCCCTGGTATTTATTGTAGCAGTATCCATCCCTGGTATTTATTGTAGCAGTATCCATCCCTGGTATTTATTGTAGCAGTATCCATCCCTGGTATTTATTGTAGCAGTATCCATCCCTGGTATTTATTGTAGCAGTATCCATCCCTGGTATTTATTGTAGCAGTATCCATCCCTGGTATTTATTGTAGCAGTATCCATCCCTGGTATTTATTGTAGCAGTATCCATCCCTGGTATTTATTGTAGCAGTATCCATCCCTGGTATTTATTGTAGCAGTATCCATCCCTGGTATTTATTGTAGCAGTATCCATCCCTGGTATTTATTGTAGCAGTATCCATCCCTGGTATTTATTGTAGCAGTATCCATCCCTGGTATTTATTGTAGCAGTATCCATCCCTGGTATTTATTGTAGCAGTATCCATCCCTGGTATTTATTGTAGCAGTATCCATCCCTGGTATTTATTGTAGCAGTATCCATCCCTGGTATTTATTGTAGCAGTATCCATCCCTGGTATTTATTGTAGCAGTATCCATCCCTGGTATTTATTGTAGCAGTATCCATCCCTGGTATTTATTGTAGCAGTATCCATCCCTGGTATTTATTGTAGCAGTATCCATCCCTGGTATTTATTGTAGCAGTATCCATCCCTGGTATTTATTGTAGCAGTATCCATCCCTGGTATTTATTGTAGCAGTATCCATCCCTGGTATTTATTGTAGCAGTATCCATCCCTGGTATTTATTGTAGCAGTATCCATCCCTGGTATTTATTGTAGCAGTATCCATCCCTGGTATTTATTGTAGCAGTATCCATCCCTGGTATTTATTGTAGCAGTATCCATCCCTGGTATTTATTGTAGCAGTATCCATCCCTGGTATTTATTGTAGCAGTATCCATCCCTGGTATTTATTGTAGCAGTATCCATCCCTGGTATTTATTGTAGCAGTATCCATCCCTGGTATTTATTGTAGCAGTATCCATCCCTGGTATTTATTGTAGCAGTATCCATCCCTGGTATTTATTGTAGCAGTATCCATCCCTGGTATTTATTGTAGCAGTATCCATCCCTGGTATTTATTGTAGCAGTATCCATCCCTGGTATTTATTGTAGCAGTATCCATCCCTGGTATTTATTGTAGCAGTATCCATCCCTGGTATTTATTGTAGCAGTATCCATCCCTGGTATTTATTGTAGCAGTATCCATCCCTGGTATTTATTGTAGCAGTATCCATCCCTGGTATTTATTGTAGCAGTATCCATCCCTGGTATTTATTGTAGCAGTATCCATCCCTGGTATTTATTGTAGCAGTATCCATCCCTGGTATTTATTGTAGCAGTATCCATCCCTGGTATTTATTGTAGCAGTATCCATCCCTGGTATTTATTGTAGCAGTATCCATCCCTGGTATTTATTGTAGCAGTATCCATCCCTGGTATTTATTGTAGCAGTATCCATCCCTGGTATTTATTGTAGCAGTATCCATCCCTGGTATTTATTGTAGCAGTATCCATCCCTGGTATTTATTGTAGCAGTATCCATCCCTGGTATTTATTGTAGCAGTATCCATCCCTGGTATTTATTGTAGCAGTATCCATCCCTGGTATTTATTGTAGCAGTATCCATCCCTGGTATTTATTGTAGCAGTATCCATCCCTGGTATTTATTGTAGCAGTATCCATCCCTGGTATTTATTGTAGCAGTATCCATCCCTGGTATTTATTGTAGCAGTATCCATCCCTGGTATTTATTGTAGCAGTATCCATCCCTGGTATTTATTGTAGCAGTATCCATCCCTGGTATTTATTGTAGCAGTATCCATCCCTGGTATTTATTGTAGCAGTATCCATCCCTGGTATTTATTGTAGCAGTATCCATCCCTGGTATTTATTGTAGCAGTATCCATCCCTGGTATTTATTGTAGCAGTATCCATCCCTGGTATTTATTGTAGCAGTATCCATCCCTGGTATTTATTGTAGCAGTATCCATCCCTGGTATTTATTGTAGCAGTATCCATCCCTGGTATTTATTGTAGCAGTATCCATCCCTGGTATTTATTGTAGCAGTATCCATCCCTGGTATTTATTGTAGCAGTATCCATCCCTGGTATTTATTGTAGCAGTATCCATCCCTGGTATTTATTGTAGCAGTATCCATCCCTGGTATTTATTGTAGCAGTATCCATCCCTGGTATTTATTGTAGCAGTATCCATCCCTGGTATTTATTGTAGCAGTATCCATCCCTGGTATTTATTGTAGCAGTATCCATCCCTGGTATTTATTGTAGTAGTATCCACCCCTGGTATTTATTGTAGTAGTATCCACCCCTGGTAATTATTGTAGCAGTATCCATCCCTGGTTTTTATTGTAGCAGTATCCATCCCTGGTTTTTATTGTAGCAGTATCCATCCCTGGTTTTTATTGTAGCAGTATCCACCCCTGGTATTTATTGTAGCAGTATCCACCCCTGGTATTTATTGTAGTAGTATCCACCCCTGGTATTTATTGTGAGTAACTGCATTTACCCCCAGAATTAATTGTGCTTTATATAAAAGTATCCAACCCCCGGATTTGTTGCCTTAGTAAAACAGTATTCACCCGGGACATATTTTATTGTGTAAAACAGTATTCACCTCCGGGACATATTTTATTGTGTAAAAAAGTATTCACACCCGGTATTTAATGTATTGTGTATAACGGTATTCACCCGGGACATATTTTATTGTGTAAAACAGTATTCAACCCCGGGACATATTTTACTGTGTAAAAAAGTATTCACCCCCGGTATTTAATGTATTGTGTAAAACAGTATTCACCCCCGGGATAAAGACACTGTCGCCAGACGACTGGTGATGGCAGCCATGTCAGTTGCCTACAATCTGACAATGGGAGAGATACAGGGGCCCTTTCCCGAATCCTTCCAAGTGGACAGCGCCTACATGACGCTCTACGTTAGGTACACCAACACAGTTCTGGCGCCCATCAGGTCTAATCATGGGTTCGAGGTGAGTGATTAACTTCAGGTACTTAACCTTAAGTCTGATCCACACAACATTGACTGTACATCAATCTGTATGTGGTCAAACGCGTGAGACTTCACATTTATTAACATGGACAATGTTCAATAACAATATCGCTCGGTTGCTGGTTTAATGCTTATTCTGAGTCAAATGAAACAATGCCGAGCCGCGAAGTGGGTCATTCCGTTTCTTGTATCAGGAGATTTTTTTGTTTTTTTTTCAATTGGTTAAAACAATGTTTTCTCTTACATTATTATGCTCATTATTCACACACAAAAACACCCTTATTCACACACAAAAACACCCTTATTCACACACAAAAACACCATTATTCACACACAAAACCACCCTTATTCACACACAAAAACACCCTTATTCACACACAAAAACACCCTTATTCATACACAAAAACACCCTTATTCACACACAAAAACATCCGATACAGTTTTCAAATGGTTTGAAATTTTCATCAAAATTTTGTCCTTCCACTTTCCAGGTGATTTGCTCGCCGTTTGGCAAATACGTCAGGTCCAATCACGTGCATGATGACGCCACCTGGTCCTCCGTACCGATAATTCAATCAGATAACACTGCCATCACTCTGGACCTCCAACAGGCATGCGCGAACCAAACTGTGGCAGGAGTACGCTACGCTTGGCGGGAATCTCCGTGTGAATACAAATCATGCGCAATATATTCGCAATATACCGATCTTCCGGCCCCGCCCTATCTCGTAGTGGGATATCTGCCTTAGAGGTGTCTTGTTGTTGACATTTATACTAACACAAAACGTGGTTAACATGAATCCCTGTCATGAATATTAACTTCTAGAGGTGTCTTCTTTAGAAAACAAACTGCATGCGCACTTCACTGCCGTGTGACTGTTTCCCGTATACCCGAAACTAAGGAAACTCATTTTTTACGCTAATATTATATTGTATAAATAATTCATGTACTACTGTTTTAATTTGGGCTCATTGTTAGGTTTAGAAACGGGTTTAGTACATTTTTAATTTTTAATTATTGAAGAGCTTTGCGCTTTATCTTTAAGATAACACAAACAAAATCAATAACGTAAGCGTCATTGTTAACATGCTTTTCAATTATTTCAGAAAGCATTGTTCCATAATGTCTTTAATGTGTTAAACCAATGGATAAATCAAGAAATTAATAAGAAATAAACACAGGTTATAGGCCTAATAGCATGATAATATTTAATCAGTTGTTTAACTAGATTAATAAAAAGTGACATGTTTACAATACAGTATACATAATAATGTAAATCACTAACGTGTGTATCCGTTGTTTGAATGTGACTCAATAACTGTTCAGGAGATTGTTATAATTATTGCTAAAAAATATAAACATCGCTTGTAAGCAAGATGGAACTAATAGTAGATCTGGTATGTAGGATGATTGTTTAGATAAGGATATCATTTTATATGGTCTGGATTGTTGTCACTGACAAATTAATACAGCATATGTTATGTGACACACGTACATCTGTCACGTGTCCAAGCTGTGTGACACACGTACGTCTGTCACGTGTCCAAGCTGTGTAATACACGTACATCTGTCACGTGTCCAAGCTGTGAGACACACGTACATCTGTCACGTGTCCAAGCTGTAAGATACACGTACATCTTTCACGTGTCCAAGCTGTGTGATACACGTACATCTGTCACGTGTCCAAGCTGTGTGCCACACGTACACCTGTCACGTGTCCAAGCTGTGTAAGACACTTACATCTGTCACGTGTCCAAGCTGCATGCCACGTGTTTCTATCACGTATTGAGGTTTATTTGAACATGAACAGAAGTTGCAATTGTAGTGTTAACTGTAAAGGCTGCACGAGTTGCGCCCGTTTACTTGCATTCAGACATTGGTAATCGAACGCACCTATGGGAAGTGGGGATGTCACTTCCGGTTTAGACATGGAGTAAATGGTTTGAGTTTACGCATGGTGTTATAGTAATCGTATTAATACTCTATGATAGACACTTCAGCAATCATAGAACGCAGGCATTGGAAATGAAACGACATAAACCACATGACTTGATGACGTTGTACGTAGACCTACTCCCATAACATGAGAGGCCGCTGGTCGGCCTTTTTTCAATCGGATATGATTTTGCCGACTGCGACCTCTCATTTCCGAAGCACTAATTCTTTGATGCAGTTTCCGCCCGAAATCCGGGCGGAACAAAATCGGCTTGAAAAACTCATTAACGTGGTTAACAGTTCATGACAACGATGTCTACTCACGCTTTATATAATATAGATCTCATATGTATGTCACAGACACAAATATAAAGTATATTACGGAATAGAACATCAAAATACATGTCCATGTCGTTGTAGCACATCTCTGACCTACATTTAAAACATGGCTTCTGGATTAATACAAAATAGCAGGGGGATTTCAAACGGAACGAAATGATACGGAGTTTGTTTGTATTCCGCTTGTGAAACATTACATGTAATCCATTTTTGTAATAACCGGAAAAATCATTGCAAATGCTGTCTGCTTCGCTTCGAATGAGGAAAAACTCATTATTTATTTCTTTGACACGAAATCTTTCTCATATAATCATGGATTTATGGAAAGGAATATTTATTGGACCGTTTTGACCATTTAAATGTATGTAAACACGATATACTCTTTCTTAATTCGAACTTTGAAAATGTGATCGCCAGCATCGGGAAAATCAGCTATGGGCAGTTAGAGGTTACGCGGCGCCTGTCAAAAGTTTTTCGCCGTGTAAAACCTCTAACTTTGTTGGAGTATACGTAGACCCAGCTCGTGAAGGAAGGCATGTTACCAATCCTTCCCCATAAACGAGTACATGTGGAGTACCGACGATGTCACGTGACAAAACAACGTTAATATTAATCAAAGTGAAACAGTTCATATCATGTAAAGTCAATCGTCCAATCAACGGTTGAGAACAGGTTTCACAGCGCCATCTCTTGGTCATTCTTGATATAACATAGTCACAATTACATCTATCATCAATAACCGGTCACGTGGGCAGTTTTATCTTGTTTTTCTTGAGGATCTGTTTGACTTGAGTGCTGCTGATTCTCTCTCCTGAAAAAAACGCCAGACACAATTACAACTCAGTGCTAACTCACTTACATAATCACAGCATCACGTAAACATATCTTATTGCTTTCAAAAGCGGTAATAAATTTATCCCGTACTGTTTAGAAAAAGGAACACTTACCCGAATTGCGAACCAATCGTTTTAGAGAAAAGGGACCATCACCAGAAGGATTGTAAGCAGCTAGTTTGACTTCGTAGTCGACCCCTTTACGGACACCTTTGATGACGTGAAATGACGAGTTGATTCCCCGGATGTAACAGGTCTGGAAAGACTTGTCGGGTGACTTGGCTTCCCTAAAGGCGAGCACGTACCCGGCTATAGTAGGACCGAAATACTGGGTGGGCGGCTGTACCAACAACGTCAATAAAGTTTATAGATAATCTAAAAATCCAAACTTGCGTCACGTAAGATAGTTTTAAATGCAGACGTTCAGGTTAGTTAATCTGACTTTTTAGTCCGTGCTATTTCGGGTTTTATGCGTCGTCAATGACAACCGTGGACATTTTTAGTGTAGAAGTATTATTCTACCGAAAATATTTTTCGTATTGATGAAAGTAAACAGCGCAAGTATGACCACATGGCATACATTCGTGACAAGACAACTTAATAGCATTCAAGGAGCATCAAAATATCTCATAAAAACATATCTTAGATATTATATACAACTATAATAAACACCCAATATATGTTTAAAAGATATAAGATATTTTTCACACGTTTGTTTAAAGATCTCTTATATACAAATAAACGCTCCTGACAGAGATGTCGGAAATTGTGGAGCAGATAATGTCAAAGATTTGAGCTGGAGGCGATTTACACCGACATGTATCAGGCTATTACAGATTATAAGCGTCCAAGTCCGACGCTTATTATTATTTACATGTTCGTAAAAGATAGGTCGGATTTTGGTTTCGTCTGTTAGTAACAAAATCGTAAATGCAGGAATACATGCCATTGACTTTTTTTTTCTGTATTAAGATAAATCCTCTTTTTTTGGTAAATTATCAAATATATTTGTGGCAGGGTTCAATTGTACATAGGATTAAGGTCGCCTTCTAGCTTCGAGCTAGAGGGAATTTCCCTTTAGCTCAGTGGTAGAGCGTCCGACTAGGAACCTGGCGATCGAGGGTTCGATCCCTGGTGGAAACACACTATTCTCTTTCCTGTTACATATTAAACGGAATTGAAAGCTTTGGTACTTATCAAAGCTAACCCCCCCCCCCCTTTAGTTGGTCGGAAGCTGTTATTTTACAATATCAATTTTGTTTAACTGTCAGTCTATACAATATCAAATATCTCATATAGAATTTTATTTTGATATATCTTATAAAAGATATCATTATCGAATATAATACATGAAGAAAATTATATCAGATATCTTAAATCTTTTAATAAATATCTTCTATTGTTTATGAGATATACGAGATGTCTTATATATTATCTCATTAACTTATACACATATACAAAACATAAACAAATAGGATACCTTAATACTATTTTAAGTCTATTATATAATACCTAGGACGTCAGTACTATGATGGACATAACACAATGAAGGCATACCGTCCACTTGACGTAGATTGTATAATACCTAGGACGTCAGTACTATGATGGACATAACCCAATGAAGGCCTACCGTCCACTTGACGTAGATTGTATAATACCTAGGACGTCGGTACTATGACGGACATAACACAATGAAGGCATACCGTCCACTTGACGTAGATTGTATAATACCTAGGACGTCAGTACTATGATGGACCTAACACAATGAAGGCCTACCGTCCACTTGACGTAGATTGTATTATGCCTAGGACGTCAGTACTATGATGGACATAACACAATGAAGGCCTGCCGTCCACTTGACGTAGATTGTATAATACCTAGGACGTCAGTACTATGATGGACAGAACACAATGAAGGCCTACCGTCCACTTGACGTAGATTGTATTATGCCTAGGACGTCAGTACTATGATGGACATAACACAATGAAGGCCTGCCGTCCACTTGACGTAGATTGTATAATACGTATGACGTCAGTACTATGATGGACATAACACAATGAAGGCCTACCGTCCCCTTGACGTAGATTGTATAATACCTAGGACGTCAGTGCTATGACGGACATAACACAATGAAGGCCTACCGTCCACCTGACGTAGATTGTATAATACCTAGGACGTCGGCACTATGATGGACATAACACAATGAAGGCCTACCGTCCCCTTGACGTAGATTGTATAATACGTATGACGTCAGTACTATGATGGACATAACACAATGAAGGCCTGCCGTCCACTTGACGTAGATTGTATTATACCTAGGACGTCAGTACTATGATGGACATAACCCAATGAAGGCCTACCGTCCTCGTGACGTAGATTGTATAATACCTAGGACGTCGGTATTATGATGAACATAACACAATGAAGGCCTACCGTCCACTTGACGTAGATTGTATAATACGTATGACGTCAGTACTATGATGGACATAACACAATGAAGGCCTACCGTCCTCGTGACGTAGATTGTATAATACATAGGACGTCGGTACTATGATGGACATAACACAATGAAGGCCTACCGTCCTCGTGACGTAGATTGTATAATACCTAGGACGTCGGTACTATGATGGACATAACACAATGAAGGCCTACCGTCCACTTGACGTAGATTGTATAATACCTAGGACGTCAGTACTATGATGGACATAACACAATGAAGGCCTACCGTCCACTTGACGTAGATTGTATAATACCTAGGACGTCAGTACTATGATGGACATAACACAATGAAGGCCTACCGTCCACTTGACGTAGATTGTATAATACCTAGGACGTCAGTACTATGATGGACATAACACAATGAAGGCCTACCGTCCACTTGACGTAGATTGTATAATACCTAGGACGTCAGTACTATGATGGACATAACACAATGAAGGCCTACCGTCCACTTGACGTAGATTGTATAATACCTAGGACGTCAGTACTATGATGGACATAACACAATGAAGGCCTACCGTCCACTTGACGTAGATTGTATAATACCTAGGACGTCAGTACTATGATGGACATAACACAATGAAGGCCTACCGTCCACTTGACGTAGATTGTATAATACCTAGGACGTCAGTACTATGATGGACATAACACAATGAAGGCCTACCGTCCACTTGACGTAGATTGTATAATACCTAGGACGTCAGTACTATGATGGACATAACACAATGAAGGCCTACCGTCCACTTGACGTAGATTGTATAATACCTAGGACGTCAGTACTATGATGGACATAACACAATGAAGGCCTACCGTCCACTTGACGTAGATTGTATAATACCTAGGACGTCAGTACTATGATGGACATAACACAATGAAGGCCTACCGTCCACTTGACGTAGATTCCTGCCGGGTCTGTTACGGGATACATCCTCACTATCTTTGGAATATAACGAGGTTCTGAAAAGACACACGATAACAATAATGGATTTTATATTTTGTCATAACGAGACTCTGAAAAGACGCAATTGTTAAAATCACAGATCTTATACGTGTTGATGTATATTGGGGTCAAAGCGGCAAAAGGTCACCAAGGTAAGATGCATGTTTATTGTAGGGTTAGTGAAGCTCTAGTAAAACACAGGGTAACAAATGTAAAAATCACAGGCTTTATATGGTTTAAAACGAGGCTCTGTATCAACGAGTTAACCAAGGTAACAAATATAGACTTTAAATTGGTGTTATAACGAGGCTCTGTACATAGACTTTATATTGGTGTTATAACGAGGCTCTGTAACAATGAGTTAACCACGGGATATATAACGAGGCTCTGTATCAACGAGTTAACCAAGCTAACAATCATAGACTTTATATTGGTGTTATAACGAGGCTCTGTACATAGACTTTATATTGGTGTTATAACGAGGCTCTGTATCAATGAGTTTACCATGGGATATATAACGAGGCTCTGTATCAACGAGTTAACCAAGGTAACAATCATAGACTTTATATTGGTGTTATAACGAGGATATGTAACATAGACTTTATATTGGTGTTATAACGAGGCTCTGTATCAATGAGTTTGCCAAGGTAATAGTCACAGACATTATGATCGGATTATATCGAGGCTCTGAACGACACAACATCTGTAACCATATACAGTCAATACCTGACACGATGATTGGGTTGATTAGATTAAAACGCATACAAAGATTAAATCATTACACCATACCTGTTGATTTCTGTATAAGCATGGTTTCTGGAGTTTGTACTGAAAGGAAAAAAGAAAACAAAGTATTCAGGTTTGACTATGCCAATATATTCCGTTTGTACAATCGGGAGAAAAATAACGCTACAATTACTCTTTATATTTCTTGTATGCTGGATAGCTCGATAATATCATAAAACTATAATGTTACCTCCAGTCCTTATGATCATTGGTATGGAGTAGCGTCCCTTTCCCTCGCCAATATAGGCTGCAACTTTCAGTTCGTAAAGAGTGCATGTTTGTAGTCCTGTGAGCACGTGTATCGATATGTCACTTCCGGGAACAAGTTTGACCTGATTTGTCGAACCGAGACCACATTGGCGGTACGCTATCAAGAACCCTTCGATTATAACGGAAGTGACGTCATTTGGAACCTATGTGAACAAAAGACAAGGTTACTATTACTGGTAGATCTACATGTTTTTTTCTCATTCGTCAATTTATTGCCGAATAGCAAATACAATTGTACGTTTCTCCATTAGAAATGATAATTAGTATTAGGATGGCTCGAGACTATTGCTATATGACTTACTTCCCATTGTATAAGCACTCCACGGCCTTTGTCAGTTGTCGCCAGCTTATTAACCCGGGGGATCGGAATAAGTTCTGAAAATAATAATTGGAAAAAACATTCGGTCTGAATCATTATGCAGTATAAATGCTCTTAATCAGTTTAAGACAGAGAAGGAATGGTTAGGTATTGGTTATCGCGTCTCCTAACTGATTACTACGATAATTAGTTCAACATGCTGGTCTATTAACCACTGGGCAGTATACCGCTATAGCGTAACGCTAGCCAGGGACACTGTAAATCACTAGTACTGTGATAGTGTGTATACTCACTTGCGAGTGGTGACGTGATCTCTTCCTTGTCTGTAATATATAACAACGCAATGGATTAGCACAGTTGGACATAACATATTGAGAGAAAACACTTCTTTGTCAAAATTAATCAACAATGCCCACATAGTTTCTGAAATGGCTCCAATATAACCTATCACATACAATTATAACAATATAAGGGACACGAAAACAGGAATGACGTCACGGAACCTCTCAGAAACCGGAAGTGGAATTGGATTTCATTCAGCACCCTTTTGAATCTTTTGAAGATGATAGAATATTCGAGAAATATCTATATGTCCGGTAAAATGTTCTCGAGACACGCATTTATATCGGGCAACGCTACACGTTACCTAGCACGCGTTGTTCACAAATAAATACCTAAGCCAAAGCTAAGTGAGTTATGTGTTTATTCTCTGTGTGTAACAAAGACATAGCGACATTGTAGTGTATATAAGTGTATTCTATATATCAACGTAACGTGCACCCAGAACCAAGCAGACCACGTGACCATGTCGTACACAATTTACGCAGGGAAAGATTCTCCAGCCACCATTTGTCTAGTTTCCCCTCGGTGAAGCCCTGGAGGAACCGGATGTATGCTAGGTATTCATCTGTAACAGCGCACAGGTAACAGTCCTTGGGTTGGTCTCTAGGAAACTCCTCGTCGCGGGGGGTCTTATTGTGGACGGGGACCTGATTATTATGTTTCTTCAAAAAGTTCTTTTCTTTTGTTTTCATCCACTCTCCTGAAATAATAAAATACTTTTATAAATTTGGTATTAAAAAAACCGACAATTTATATTTCAATGGAACGGACGGTATACATTAGAACACACGATTTCTGGCGTTTTCAGGTACATCCTATTTCTACCTGAAATGATTTAACCACATTAGTCACACATGTACATTTAGTTTTCTACGTTATATAATACAACCATTGACATTTGCTTATGTACAGCAGTTAAAACGGATGATATGAAACACGGCATTGATGAACACGATTTGTTCCGACATAAGGAAACAATCACGATAAAGATAGATGATATATGCTCGAATTGGGAAAGGACATAAAGTGAAAAAATCCTTACAGAAGAAAAGAAAAATAGAACCTTATGTTAGGGCGGGATATATCATGACACAAATAACCAGTATCAAACGTTGTAATTTTAAATTTTGGGATTGAAATTACGACATTGAAAAGATATTTTTAAAAGATGCATGTTATTTCAATGAAAGATCCGTTGATGAACTTAAAAATATAAAACACAGCGTCAACATAGAAAAACGAAAGCACATGTTACACGACATTTATACGACAACAACAAAGGACAAACCACACAAAAAGGACAAAAGGAAAAATCGACAAACTCAAAACACAAAGACAAAATATACCACAGCGTCAACACAACAGGATAAAATCTACTAGAGCGACAATTAACATTGTAGGCATCACGATGTCTCGGAAGAAGTTGTGTTGCAGCGCCTGTTGTGACTATACAGTACAATTCTGTTGCAGTTGCTGAATGTGTATTCTACGCTTGGCTCAACTAATATACAACTACGAGTATTCCACAACATCTATAAATAAACAGGACAGAATATTCTACATCATTGGCAGATATGGAGGAAACGTACCAAGACGCTTATTCACAATGACAGAGTACACTGCAGCATCATCACACAAAGATACATATTCCACGTCTGCACACAAGGGCAAAACATACCAAGCGTCAACACACAATGACAAATTCCTCCGTGGCGTCAACTTATTAAGACAAACTATACCACAGCGTCAACACGAAGGTAGAAACTATAACACAGTCCCACACAAAAGGAATAGTGAAATAAATAAACGTACCTACCTATAGTTGTCATGTGTTCCTGACAGGACAACACCTCCGCCATGTTGAGTCGACGTCAGCAGATTTTGTAATACTAACTGTAGACAATGGTTATGCTTTATGTGTTTTGTAAAATCCCCTGGTTATCCACTGATATTGTAGTAATGGACGCGCTCAGGTACACAACTGTAATACCATAACAAAGACCTGTTAATTAACACGACCTGGCCGTGTGGATTAGCGATACGTCAGGTGTATCACTGCGGCTTTCCTGTACCTGTATGCTATATATCGGCAGGTCTTATCACCTAGGTAAATATCTATAATATATTGATACTTTCACACAAACATTACCTGACATTATGTAAACAATTCTCCCTTTTCTCGCAGTCGTAATGAAATATTTATGTTGTAAGATCTTCTGTTGATTGATCCCGATACCCCGATACTACGGGCGCGTGGTAGTACAGATACCGATCGATAGCCTTAGGTTACACTCTAGGAGGCAAATATTTGGAAGGAAGATCGGGAGTGGGGGCCGGCGTAATTGATATACGACTCCGACACGACAGGTAAACCTACCCATGTTGTACTGTGAGTACACTAGAAATATCAGTACTGTATAAGTGCTAATCCTGTACTGTTGCCCTGTGAAACAACTGAAAACATGTTGAAATGGTGACGTATTGCAAAATGAGTTATGAATCTAAAAAACGAAAACGAAAATGACTCTATTGGCACGAGTGACGTAAACATGCACATCAATTTATATAAATGTCTATCTATGTATTATTGACATTTGTATCGTTACGGATTACATGTTGTTGTAGTTAATGTCAGATGTTAATGATGCTGCTGATGATGATGATGATGATGATGTGAGAGCGTTAATGATTGTTGAATACACAATAATGATGTGGGAGTGATAATGAGTGTTGATTGCACAATACATATACGTAATTTGTAATTTATTGTAAAGTATAGTTATCCAATAAGTTGTCAAATAAAAGTTGAATTGTGTGTGTGTGTGTGTGTGTGTGTGTGTGTGTATGTGTGTGTGTATCATATTGTATGTTGTCTCTGTATTGTTTTGTATATATGTTATGACTTATAAGTCAACCGACTTAAAGTAATAAAGAACTTGAACTTGAACTTGATTATCAACGGCGAACTGAGTATCCACCCCATAGATGAAGTGGAATTTTTTAACGACTTTTTCACTTCGATGTCCGTTACTTGCTGACGATTTACCTCTCGACTTCCCCTGACCCCGAAAGTGGTCATAGATGGGTATAAGTCTAATTGGTAAACTTTACAGGCAGCGGAAGGGTACCTCAAGGTTCAGTCCTTGGTCCATTTTTGTTTTCATTATATATCAATGATATTGGTGATGAATTGGCCTCAAACGTCAAACTATTTGCTGATGATACCTCCGTATATGGTCTCATTGAGGGAGACAGGCAAGAATGTGCCAATTTTTTAAATGACGATCTCAGGAAAATTTCAATCTGGTCTAGAAAATGTGGATTTTCTTTAATCCAGATAAAACTGTAGCACTGCTCTTCTCGGGGCGGGTTGACTCTGAGACACTGCATCCTAACCTATATTTTGATGAATCACCAATTATTAATGTTTCTAATCATAAACATCTAGGTTTGTTTTTTAACAGCAAAGCTAATTGGTCTAACCACATATACGAAGAAGCCTATAAAAGAATTAATATACTTAGAAAGTTGAAATACAAAATTGATAGAAAATCACTTGAAACTATATATATCACATCCATACGTCCAATTCTGGAATATGTAAATATTATATGGGCAAACTGTACGCAGAATGAATGCAGTGTCTTGGAGTCCATCCACCTAGAAGCAGCACGTTTTATTTCAGGGTTAAGACGTGGAACAAGTCATGCTATCTTATAAAGAGAATCTGGTTTTATAACACTTAATAGAAGAAGACATCTGCATCAAACTATTATTTTATATAAAATATGTAATAAGAAATTCCCCTCTCATGTCTGATATAATTCAACCGTACATTAATAATAATACTGACAATTATCATCTTCGCCACAATAGATTGTTTGATGTTCCTATACCAAGAACTCAGTTATATAATGCCAGTTTTTTCCCCGAAACTGATGTCTGAATGGAAGGAGCTAAAAAAATAAATTCGATGGTGATCGAAAAATCTAGTCAACTTAGTAACTGTGCCAGTAACCTGAATTCAGTTCTATTTGAACCTCACCTAATTGAAACCCCTGCCTGCTTATGTAGTTCTCCTGTTGAGGATTGTGATCACTTCTTCCTCCATTGTACTCTGTATACTAATCAAAAGCACATTTTCTAGAACTCCATTTCTGCTACTAATCCATTAAATACTCAGACTTTTCTTTATGGATGCCACATACTCCATATCAGTATGAATACAAGTGTTTTGGAGATGGTTCAGAGATTCATTAAAGATACTAGACGCTACAATATAGTTTTTGTAACAACAATTTTCAAAAAATTAATAATGACATGCAATATCAATATATATAACATACATGTTTGATGAGTGTAAACTGTTTATCACTGTAAGGAGAGGGCGCTCACAGGCTTTGCCTGTCGCAAAATTCATTTGTATCTAAGATCGTAACAATAAATATTCTGGAAAAAAGTACTTAGAGTGAACTACCAATGTTGTAATGTGAGTGAAGTGAAAACAGGTTGTATTGGAATGAATTAAAACGTACTGTGAGTGAACTGAAAACCTGGTCTGTATATGTGTCGACCATGCGTAGTTTTAGCTGAAAACGAGCTCTGGGCATACACTGAAAAACATGTTTTTCTATGAGTGAACGACGTTTTAGAGATTAACTGAAACAAGACATATCACTCGGAGTGTGTTTCAGTTTCTATGACGTTGACAAACACAGTGTCCAAGCTATACAGTCCCAAAACAAACACGAATCAGCATATCGTATTGAAATTATGTCATCCAGAATTGCGTAGAATACAGCCTTCCGTGGCATTTAGAAAAACATTAATAGACATAAAAATAAACGAATGCACGAATAAAGAAAGCAAATATATTTCAAGCCCCTCATCACATAACAATAATCCAAACATGGAAGTCAAGAAACAAGAACGAAAAGCTATAAGCGATTCCTGTGGTAGATTGTATATTTTTGTCACTGCACTACACGTACGGAAGGAACTTCTCGTAACCTAATATTGAATACAAGGACTCGTATCTCATTGGGAATCTCTTTTTATCTTATCGATCCGATAATCTACTCAATAAAATTAAACTGAACATTAAATGTTGGTATTGTTAAAATGTTTTCTCTGATAATTAATTCGCCATGAGAAACATTAAGCGAGAGTCACACTACAATCCGACATTAAACTTTTACCTAGTATATATGTGACTGAAGGTCGTGTCAGTGTTTACACTTGTTCTCAAGTCTCTAGGGAAGTTTGATATATTTGTCAAATAAAACGTAAGTATGCAAACTGTAAAATAATATGTATATTTGTATTACGATACCTGCCTATACAGAGAGAGTCATTCTTTAAGTGGTACTACCAAGGTATTCCATTGTTAAAGGCAGCGTTCGGTTAAAACGAACCGTTTATACAAACCACAAACCTAAACGGACTGGAGTTAAATGTACAAATTGTACCCTGCCAATATACCCCGACAAGCGCCCGGTTACTGGGGAGTAAGGACAGCGACAATGTGGGAGAACAAGCACAGTTGTCTCATTACAATATATCATACTGTTACGCGAAAGTAGCACCCGTTCTGATTTCTCCCACAGAACTAAAATGGTTGCCAACGACGGTTACTTTAACCCACAGGGTACAACGTTTTAATTATTAAAGACAGAAATCTTGTTATGATGGCGACGTATTTCTGCTGCGCAAGGAAGAAAACCCCTGGTTAACGGTTTATTGGAGACTTTCAGATGATAGGATCATCACAAATCATAGTTTGGCTTCGTTTGCTGTTTGCCTTTTTCCCACCAGGACAAAGAGAGACTCTCCAACCCACTACACAGTGAGGTCTGTAATGGTCAACACCTTGGCTATGTATCATTTTAGTCTGTAAAGCTTTAATCAACTAAACAGTGAGGTCTGTAATGGTAAACACCTTGGCTATGTATCATATTAGTCTGTAAAGTTTAATCAACTAAACAGTGAGGTCTGTAATGGTAAACACCTTGGCTATGTATCATATTAGTCTGTAAAGTTTAATCAACTAAACAGTGAGGTCTGTAATGGTCGACACCTTGGATATGTATCATATCAGTCTGTAAAGCTTTAATCAACTAAACAGTGAGGTCTGTAATGGTCAACACCTTGGATATGTATCATATCAGTCTGTAAAGCTTTAATCAACTACACAGTGAGGTCTGTAATGGTCAACACCTTGGCTATGTATCATATTAGTCTGTAAAGTTTAATCAACTACACAGTGAGGTCTGTAATGGTCAACACCTTGGATATGTATCATATCGGTCTGTAAAGCTTTAATCAACTACACTACAGATATTGACCTGTAGTAACCAAATTAACGAGTATCATCTGACCTGGCCCTAATTTCTACAAAACAATTGTAACCAAATTATATTTTTAAGTTTGTACTTTTATTCGCGTAAAATATTTCAAACTTTTTGATGAATAATAAGGGAATTGCCTAGGACATGGTATTATTTAAAATCAAGAGGTCTTTTGGATTAAATGTTAAATACTGAAATTAATTTCTCATTTTCAAAAGACAGGAGGAAACCTAGATACATACACGTTGATATGAATGAAGTAAATTTGATAAATAGACCAGAGCTAGGTTTACAGTACGACACATCACTTTTCAAACATGTCTGCGTTACTCTCATATTTTACAACACATATTCGAGGAAGTGATTTTGTTTTGAGAAAGTAAAATATTCTCCAGACTTGTGTAATCCTAAGCCTTCTTTGAAACAATATACATGTAGTTAAAGGGCTTGTTAGGGTGTATATTTACCTCTCTGCGCTGATGTTGCTGTAACTTATTGTTCAGTAATAAACCTAGCCAAAACATGCTAGGTTTCTTCTTTTACAACAACGTTTTCTTTATTTATATGAATATTGTAAAACAATATAGCCAGAGGGTTTGGTAGGTAGGGGATTCCCAACCACCTGTCCTCTAAGCTAAGTTTGCTGTATAATCTTCCGTAACGTTTATTATTCAATAACTTAACCGAGTCCTAAAACGATATTCATAAGTTTTAAATGTGTATAATCCTGAGCCTT